CGCAGGACCACGTTGGTGCTGGCCGAGGTCTGCGCCTGCGCGTCTGCCCTGCAGAGATGGGGTGGGGCTCCCTGAGGCCGTGGTCTCGGAGCAGGTCTCACCTGCGTGGAGGCAAGGGCTGACCCCTGGAGGGGCGGGGGTGGCACAGAGGGCTGAGGGAGCGTTGGAAAGGGCCCTCTGTGCATTTGGAGGCCTAGAAGGGCCAGCGCCTCAAGGGCCCAGAAGGGACACAGATCTAGCCCCAAAGTTGGCGGCGGCACACATTGACTTTCCTTTAGTGTCATCTGCAAAGCTCTTAGAGGGGCTTCGGGGAAAATATACAGAGCCTTGTGTTGTCTGGGAAACACAGAACTGGCTTAGGCCGCGTAAAGGAGTGCTCTAGAGGGCTAAGCCCTGGAGGAAATCCTAGGCAGGCCGTGGGGAAGCCCTGAGAGACTCAGGCCTGGAAAGGTGGAGTGTCCTGTGAAGAGGCACTTGTACACAGCACCATCCCTGTGAAAGATGCAGAACTGGCCCTGGACCGTACAGAGGGTTCCTAAGGAGACAGTCAGCATGCATTGGCCTGGGACAGCCTAAGGTGGGGGTGCCATCGACAGGCTATGAAGTCCCTCCAGCAGGCCCTTGGCAGGGGCCATGGTGTGTGTGCTGTCAGGAAGCCCTACTGCACCACTGATCACCATTGTCAACACCTTCCTGGCACTTTAGAAGGGTCCTGGGGGAGAGCTTCCAGGGCAGCATAGCAGCCAGGTTCAGTGTGGGAGACGGCAATTGAGTGCATACCCAGAGCCAAGGGCAACTCTAGGGACAGGGAGCCGAGGGGAGGGGCCCAGACAGGCAGTACTTGTTATAGAGTACGATGTCAGGCCGCCACACTAGACTGCTGGGGATTCGGATGGCATCCAGGCCCCCATAGGCATCGGGATCCCATCGCAGGTAGGCATCTGTCCACTCCTGTCGGATCCACAGGTACAGGGTCAGCACCTGGTTACGCTCATCCTAGTTGAGGGCAGGGAGTGCGCACAGATGTGGACACATCTGTGCATACCGTCCCCTGTGCCTGCACACTCACCTGCAGGACTCTGGTCAGCACCCACAAACCAGACTTGCCCACACAGTCCAGTTCCCACCCAGCTTTGCTATGTGACCGTGGCAGGTTCTTGTCTTCTCAGGGCCTCAGTTTCCTCAGCAGTTACATGAGTGATAATCCCTGCCAGGCAGGGATTTAAGTGTGCAAAGTATTGGGCACACTGTGGGTACCCAACAATTAGTATGCAACAGTTGGTAGCTATCATTATTGTTAATATTAACGTTTACAAGAAATAATTATTTGGAGAATAATCCCGGTCTCTCCCCCATGTTGCTTGACACTGTCACCAGCACACTCCACTGTTGTACAACCACGACGCACCATGTCAATGATCTGGGACAACGTCACCTCCAGGGTCACGTTCAGAGCATGGTCTGTATCTGCCACAGGTCTCAGGGCACTTGTGTAGTTGGCAAAGAGGTCTCGGAACAGCTTGTGTGCCAGCCTGCCCTCGGCTCCCATGCACTCTAGGGGATCCAAGAAGAAGGGGTGTCCATCTGAGACCCTAGTCCAAGGGCCTCTGCTCACACTGTGTAATTCCTACAGGTTGAAGCCCTGTAACCTGCTCCATTCTTTCACAGCCATCTGACTGTCCCTGCTCTGTGCCCCTCTAGCTGCAATTCTATTCCTCCCTGGCCTGCCTCCAGCGATGGATGAGGTGAAAGCCGTAGTGTGAATACATATTGTCTTCTGAAACAAGGCTGATGGGTTTCTTCCCCACCCTCCCCTTCCCAAGGCTCTGGATTCTGCCTCCCCAACCACAAATGCTAGAGGGGCCCAAACAGACCAGAAGAGTCCCAGCTCTCACCCAGGCATCAGGAACCCCGTTGCCTTGCTCCCTCCCGTCTCTCCAGCCTGTCTCTGCTTCTCCAGCTGTACTTTAGTTGATTTCTTCAAACCTTCTGACACTATGGCCCCCTCCCTCCTGAAAACACACTCTTCCCTGGGCTTTTGTGACATACCTCATGGTCCTCAGTCCTTGATTTAAGTATTGTTCCCCAGAATCCTGTCCTTGGCCCTCATCTCCTTTCTTCTCCAGCCCAGAATTTTCTCCTGAGCTCCAGACCTGAATGTCCTAAATGTCCTTTGGCACCTTGAACTGTGTAGGTCCAAAATATGAACTCCTTTCCTTCCCCCATGCTCTGAAACCTGCTCCTTGTTCTGTGGTCCCCATCTCATCAAACAGCATCTCCCCCTCCCCTGGTGATCTCAGCTGGAAATCTGGGAATTAGCTTCTGCCCCCTCCGTCTGCCAGCCATCCTGTGCCCAAATCCTGTCAGTCATACTGCTGAGCATCTCTTGAGTGCTTCATGGCCTCTCCAGCTCAGGCCCATCTTCCCTTGAGTGGACCACAGCAGCAGCAGCCTCCTCTCTGCTCCCCTGCCTCAGGCCCACCTCTCTAACCATCTTTCACACTTCTGAGAAATCAAGCTTTGAAACAAGCAAATCTGACTAGACCAGTAGCTGCTGAAACCCATTCAATGACTCCCTAATTGGATAGAGCCCAAACTCAGCCTGGCATTCAAGGAGCTTCATGATCTGCCCCCCTCCCCACCCCTTGGCTTTTTCAGCCCTACCCCTGGGAGCTCCCCACCTCACTGCTCCCACCCCAGCCAGGCAAGCCCCCTCTCACCCTTTTTGGCTCCCCTGGCTCCACACTTGTTGCCAGCACAGAAATAAAGAGCATGTGGAAAGAGATTCAGGGAGGATGGGGATAGCAGCAACGCCCAGAGAGGCCAGGGCTGGTTTACTGAGCTTCATACCTGGAAGGAGTGGGAGCAGGAGCAGAAGGTCCAGGCAGGAGACAGAGAAGCCGAGGCTGAGCTGGTGGCTCCGGGGCCCCATGGCCTTGCCACTGCAAGAGAAAGGGTAAGTCCCTGGGTGTGAGCCTCCCAGCCTGACCTAGGGCAACTTCAGGCCTTGCTGGCAAGGATGGTGTGGACAATCCCTGGAAGTTAAAAGTAAGACTGAGATCTCCGTTGGATCAGACTACTCTCCAGGGAGCCCTGCAGCCCTTCCAGTTACCTGACCCTCTTAGTTGTACCTGCCCTGGGATTTTAGTACTTGGTCCTTGGCATCTGCTGTTCCTCCTTCTCTACTAGTCTTTGCCTCTCCTGGCCTCTGCCCCTGCTCCCCGCCCCCTTTACCTTTCAGCCTCTATTTGCTCCTATCTTTTCCTCTATAATTGTTTCTTGCTCTCTGCCTCCCTGACTCTGCTCTTCCTCTTTCCACCCTCTCTTCCTTTTTCCAACCTCTGTTTCAGGACCCCTGACTTCCTCCCTCCATCCCCTACACCTGACTCTGGGTGAGCCTGGTGCATTCTCAGCAGGACAGGGGCAGGGAACCTACCAGTCCTGAGCCTCCTGAGACACTGGACAGCAGGCCCTGCCCCTTGTCCCTTTTCATTAGCTCAATTTCAGTTGGGACGTCTGTGTCCATGGGAACAGAGCGAGTGAAACTGATACCTCAGATCACGGGGACATGAATTATTCAAATTCTGTAAGGCAGCACCTGGGATCAGCTCAGGCTCAGCTTGATGAGGTTGGAAGGTATGGAGATGCTGGGGTCAGGGTCTTCAGGGGACTGGGGCTTAAGTACGTAAAGGGACAGGGCCTGTGGATGGTAACTGTCCTCCTATCTCTGGCCCCATTGCTGCATTCTTGAGGCCCCCTTCAGACTGTCAGCTCTACCCTCAGTGAAGGACTGATATATCTGTCTAGCCTAAGTGTTTTGTGCCAAGCAAGTTCTCCCCTCCTGGTGGGAATGGTGTCAAGCCTCAGGCTGCTACAGGTGGCCCCACAAAAGAGGAGATGCAGCCCACATCCTTGCCTCTGAGTCCCCACAGCCATCCCAGTCTGAGCCTCTGCATTCTCCTCATGCCCAGCAACATGGGTGGTATTGGGTAGCAGGTAAAACACAAGATTAAGAGTCACTTTCAGCTCTGTCCTATGAGCTGTCTGACCTGGGCAAGATACTGAAACTTTCTGGGTTTCAGTTTTTTCAAACAGGATAATGGGATTAACGGTCCTCACTTAAATAATTGTTGTAAGAATTAAATAAGATAACCTGATAATACAAGTCAAGTACCTAGCACGTTGCTTGATGCACAGAAGACAACAGTATTTGCATGATGGTCCCAGTGAATTAGTCAGGATATCTTCAGGAACACACACAAGACCCAGCCCCTGGCAACTACATTCTATTTTCTGTCTCTATGATTTTGACTAGGTGGTTCACATTTTTTTTTCATGTCTGGCTTATTACTCTTTGCATAATGTCCTGAAGTTTCATCCATGTTGTAGCATGTGTCAGAATTTCCTCCCTGTTTAAGGCTGAATATATTCTATTATATGTATGTGCCACATTTTGCTTATTCATTCTTCTCTTGTTGGGCACTTGGGTTGCTTTCATGTATCAAGTATTGTGAATAATGCTGCTATGAACATGGGTGTACAAGACTCTGCTTTCAGTTCTTTTGGATATATATACCCAGAAATGGAATTGCTGGATCATATGGTAATTCTGTTTTTAACTTTTTAAAGAATTGCCATACTGTTTTCCACAGCGGACATACCTTTTTACATCCCCACCAGCAAAGCACAAGGGTTCCAGTTTCTACATATCCTCATCAACATTTGTTACTCTCTGCTTTACTGATAATGGCCATCCTAATGGGTATGCGGTAGTATCTCATTTGTAGTTTTGATTTGTATTTCCCTAATGATTTGTGATGTTGAGCACCTTTTTATGTGCTTATTGGCCGTTTGTATATTCTCTTTGCAGAAATGTCTATTCAAGTCCTTTGTCCATTTTTAATTGCTGAGTTCTAGGAGTTCCCTTTATATTCTGGACATTAATCCCTTATCAAATAAATAATTTGCAGATATTAATCTCCCATTCTTCTTACTCAGGTTGTAGTGTCTTTTGATGGATAAAATTAAAACTTTTCACGTAGTTCGGTTTGTCTATGTTTTTCTTTTGTTTCCTGTGCCTTTGGTGTCATAGCCTAGAAATCACTGCCAAATCCAATGTGGTGAGGATTTTACCCTATATTTTCTTCTAAGAGTTTTATAATTTTAGGTCTTACATTTAAATCTTTGATCTATTTTGACTTAATTTTTCTATATGGTGTTAATTATCCAACTTTATTTCTTTGCAAATAGATACCTAGTTTTCTCAGAATCATTTAGTGGAAAGACTGTCCTTTCCTCCCACTAAATGGGTTTGGCACCCTTGTCAAAAAGCATTTGACCATATTTGATAATTCCTGGACTCTCTATTCTATTTCTAGTCTATATGCTGTCTTTATGCCAGTATCACAGTTTTGATTACTACAGCTTTGTAGTAAATTTTGAAATCAGGAAGTATAAGTCCTCAAGCTTTTTCCTTTTCCTTTTTCTTTTTTTAAAATGAAATTACTGGGGATTGAACCCAGTACCTTGTGTATGCTAAACATGCACTCTACCACTGAGCTACATCCACCCCCTTTTTCTCCCCACCCCCCAAGATTGTTTTGGCTATTCCAGGTCTATGGAGATTCTATGTGAATTTTAGGGTGGACCTATTTCAGAAAAAAAAAAAGCTGAGATTTTGTTAAGAATTGCATTAAATCTGTAGATTGCTTTGGATAGTATGGACAGCTTAATAGTAAGTGCTTCAATTCATGAACATGGCTGTCTTTCAATTTGTGTCTTCTTTCATTTCTTTCAGCAATGTTTTATAGTTTTCAGTGCATATCTTTTGCCTCCTTGGTTAAGTTTATTCTTAAATGTTTTATTCTTTTTGATGTTACTATAAGTGGAATTGTTTTAATTTCCTTTTCGGATTGTTGTTAGTGTATAAAAATGCAACTGATATTGCATGTTGGTTTTGTATCCTGCTACTTTGCTGAATTCATCCCATAGTTCTAACAGTGGGATTTGTTTGTTTGTTTTGGTGGAATCTTTAGTTTTCTACATAAACAATCATATCATTTGCAAACAGAGATACTTTTGCTTTCTAATTTGGATGTCTTTTATTTGTCATTCTTGCCCAGTTGCCCTGGCTAGAACTTCCAGTATTATGTTGATAGAAGTGGTGAAAACAGACTTTTTTTTTCAAGTTGATATTTATCTCTTTTTAAATTTTATGTATTTTACAATATCATATTTTAAAAATTGAAGTATAGTTGGTGTACAATATTATGTTACAAATATACAATATGGTGATTCAATTTTTAAAGATTATACTCCATTTATAGTTATTATAAAATATTAGCTATATTCCCTATGTTGTACAATGCATCCTTGTAGCTTATTTTATACCTCAGTTTGTACCTCTTAATCCTCCACCTCCATCTTGCCCCTCCCTCTCCCCTCTCCCCACTGGTAACCACTAGTTCTTTCTCTACATCTGTGAATCTGTTTCTTTTCAAAAATAGACATTTTTACCTTGTTCTTGATCTTAGAGGAAAAAACTTTCCCATTTTCACATTGAGTAAGATGTTCATTGCTGGTTTTCATATATGGCTTTTATTATGCTGGAGTAGTTTCCTTCTATTCCTAGTTTGTCATCTTTATCATGAAAGGGTGATTTTTTTTTTCAAATGCTTTTTTCCATCAATTGAGATGATCACATGGGTTTTCTTCCTTCATTCTGTTAATGTGGTATAGTATATTTAGTAATTTTTTAATGTATTGAAACATCCTTGTGTTCGAGGAATGGATCCCACTTGGTAATGGTGTGTAATCATTTTAACATGCAGCTGAATTTAGTTTGCAAGTATTTTGTTGGGGATTGTTGGATCAATATTCATAAATGATACTGGTCTGTAGTTTTCTTTTCTCGTAGTGTCTTGGTCTAGCGTTGGAATCAGGATTATGCTGGCCTCATGGAATGAGTTAGGAAGTATTCTCTTCAATTTTTTGGAAAAGCCTGAGAAGGACTGATATTAGTTTTTTTTATTGTTTGTTAGAATTCGACAGTGAAACCATCAAGTCCAGGGCTTTTATTTGTCAGATTTTTTATTAGTGATTCATCAACCTCAGATACTACTACATATTTATTGGAATGGCTAAAATAAAAAATATTAACAATACCAAGTGCTGGAGAGGTTGTGAAGCTACTGTAACCTTCATACATTGATTATGGGAATGCAAAAATGGAACAGCTATACTGGAAAATGGCCTGGCAGTTTCTTGTGATGTTTATACATACATTTACCATATGACCCAGGAATCTAATGCCTAGAGAAGTAACAACTTTTATGATAACACAAAATTCATGCATAAGTATTTATAGCAGCTCTTTTCATAATTGCCAAACCTACAAACAAAATGACCTTCAACAAGTGAATGGATAAACTGTGGTACATCCAGACAATGCAATACTTAGTATTCATCATTAAGAATAAATGAGCTATTAAGCTATGAAGACATGAAGGAACCTCAAATGCATATTAATAAGTGAAAGAAGACAATCTGAAAGAGCTACATACTGTATGATTCCAACTATATGACATTCTGGAAAAGGCAAATCTATGAAGATAGGAAGAAGTTCAGTGGTTGCTAGGAGTTATAGGTGACTGGGGAAGAAGAATCAGCAGAGCAAAAAGAATTCAGAGAATTTTAGTGTAGTGAAAAAAAGGGAATACTTTGTATACCATAATGATGGTTATACATCATTATAGGTTTGTCTAAACCCAGAGAACTGATAATACTAAGCATCAAATGTAATGTCAACTGTGGACTTTGAGTGATGAAGATGTGTCAATGTAGGTTCATCAATTGTAACAAATGTACCACTCTGGGGGGGATGTTGATAGTTGGGGAGGCTATGAATGTATGGGGGCAGGGGTTTATGGGAAATCTGTGCCTTCCATTCAATTTTGTGAACCCAAAAATGCTCTAAAAAATTAATTTTTTTAAAGGAATGAAGTACTGATACACGCTATAACATGGATGAACCCTGAAGTCATTATACTAAGTGAAAGAAGCCAGTAACAAAAGATCACATACTGTATGAGTCCATTTATATTACATTCTATAAAAACAAAACTATAGTGAAGAACAGGTTGCCAGTAGTAATGATTAGTAAGATGGTCTGACTTAAAGAGAAAGGGAGAATTTTGGAGTGACAGAACATTTTGTATCCTGATTGTGGGGTGGTTATACAAATCTATGTATTAAAACTAACATATGCACACCAAAAGTGAATTTTCCTACATAATAACTTTAAAAATAAAATTAAAATAAATTTAGTTTATACATAAGTAATGTAATGCAGTTAACGTACTTGTTGAAGGGGGGAAGACAAGAGTGAGGGGTAGATGGTATAGGGATTGGGTGTGGAGGTAAAAGATGCATTCTTTCTATATCATTTTCTTTAGCAATTATTTAGTGTTTTGGTGGCACAATTATACTTAAAAATAACATTTTGCAGAATGCCTTTAGGGCAAAATAAAGGCTAAATTCAAGAGTGCCTCAAAGCACATGGAAATAACTCACACATGGAACAGACTAAAGAGTTATAGAAAAACTAGTATCTTTACCTGAAAAAAAAAGTTGTAATATTTATTATAACATATTTAGTGTGTTTTGGGGTGAAAATGTTAGCTTGGAAAAAAATAGTTCTAAAAGTTGGTAGGTAATTTTAAAAAAGTCATTATGGGGAAAAAAAAAAGTACCTGAACAATAACTGATGTAAGTCCCTATTTTGAAAATACTGAATCACCACACAGAAAAAGATAAGGACTCTACAATAACAAAACAGTAAATCTTGGTCATGACTGTCATGAGATGGAAGGTTGACAGAAGCTTTATAAAGGGTGAGTCAGGCTGACAACACCTGAATCAACAGTCTTTTTTTTTTTTTAATGGAGGTACTGGAAATTGAACCCTGGACCTCGCCCGTGCATGCTAAGCATGCACTCTACCACTGAGCTACTATTCTCTCCACTGCCAACAATCTTAATATTACTAAAAATGAGACAGTCAGACACTGATTTCCAACGTGCTAACACACAGCACCACCTATGAGAAGGACCCTGAATCTAATCAAGTCTCTAGGTCTAACCAGTGGTTTATAGCAAGTAAGGGAGGGAGAGGCACAATCAGCCAAATCTAGAAGCCCCTGGCCTTCTATGAATGACCCAATTACTTCATCAAATAAAGAGCACTTTAAAAAGAAGTTAACAGATTAAGGGATTTAAAAGACTTAATCAACCAAATGCAAAGTATGGACCCGTTTAGATCCTGATTCAAACTTGATTAACTGTAAAATTTTACTTTTGAGATAATTGGGGAAATTTGAAAATACAGAGGGTATTAGTTAACATTTAGGAATTATTGTTAACTTTGTTAGGTATGACAATGGTATTGTGATTATATTTATAAAAACTTACAAGTTAGAAATGCTTAGGTATTAATGATGCCCTGCCTTAGAAATACCACTGGGGGGTCAGAAAGAATAAGAATGGGGGTAAAGATGAAATAAAATTGAAAAATTGAGACACCATTTTACTTTTATGTGGTTGAAAATTTTTACAATAAAATGTTTTTTTAAAATCCTCAGAAAAGAATAAAAATGAATGTTTAAAAGCAGTAATTAATGTATTACAATACAGAACTCCAGTAAAACTGTTAAGTCTGACAGCTGGTTCTTTGAAAAACAACAAAAAAATCTGAAACAATTTTCTGGAAATACAAGTAAAGAAATTGAGTAAAAATCTAAAAAAGCAATTACTCTGCAGACTTTGGCTCTGCTAATCCCACATTTAATTTCCAGATCTCTGTTATCTTTGCTTTTGGTATTATTCCAGCATTTGCTGAGGAAATACTTATTTTGGATATTGTATTAGGTTGTGGATTCCACAGGTGTATTGTTTCAAGACAACTGTTTCTTGCTTTCATATTTTGAGCTTAAAAATTTAAGACATAGCTATTGTGATAAATATTTCATTGAGTTAAAAAAAAATACTTGTCCTAAGAGGAAATACTGCCCATATTCAGTTCTTAACACTCCTAAAGGCTAGCCATTTCTATAGCACACTCACTTTTCACAAAACACCTCTGGTGAGGAACACAGAACAAATTCCTTGCTAGAAGTCCAGCAGTGCTCTGTGATTCACTTGGTTTACAGTCAGTCAGTAATGGAGGGAGATTCCCAGCTGAGTAATCCCTGTCCTCAGGGGCCCAAATTAAAGGGAAGTCCCACTCTGCTTCTCATCTCCTCGATGTCCCAGATGTCTCTGGCCTAATCCTAATTGGAATTTGCTCATATCTTCAACTAAACAGATCAAACCAACCAACCAACAAACCTACTCACCAGCCTTATTTGATCCCTCTCAAGAACAAGCCCTGTGAAGCAGCAATATCAGGTCAATCTTTCCTTTACACAATGGAAACCAAATCAGAAAGGTGAAGTGCGATCCAAGCTTTAGGTTTAAAAACCAACAAAATCCCCCAGAGCAGGAGAGCAAGGAGGCTTTGAATGCAAAGTATATTCCACTGTGTAATTTGAGAGCCTCCCCATCCCCCTAGGACTGGGAATCCAAGCACATAAATATATGTACAGCAGTCAGGATTCATCAATAATTTCAACCCCCTCACTCCCAAATTGGCCCTTATTAATCTGGCCTTTGATCTAGTCTGTATCCCAGTTTAGCACCAAACCTATTCTCTCCTTAACCCATGGCCAGTCTCCCTTTAGACTGCACATTAAACAAGGCCAATCATAAAGCTCCTCGGGGCAAGAAGGCTCAGAAACACAAAGGGAAAAAAGCCAATACAGAATGCTGTAAACATTTCATTTTATTATTTTTTTTTTAAGAAAGTAGCTTCAGAAAAAGAGGAAAATAATCTAGATCATTTATTTATATATATATACTTTTTAATAAAAACCTTTACATAATCTTCATGCATAAAGACCCAGGCATGGCCATGATGTCTGTGACAGCCCCAACACCAGCAGTCTCAGGCTGTTAGCTGGGGCTCCCCATAGCTGGCAGCAGTGTAGCCAAGGCCCTGTGCCTGCCCCTGAAGCCCAGCTCTTTGCTTGCCTCAGTGATGGTTTTACCTTCTGGGACTGTAGATGGAGGGTGGGAAATGGTTTGGGCTAGAATGGGAGGGACAGGGAGGGCTACCCAACCTGTGGTTTTATCCAAACTCTTCAGGCAAATCTAGACAGGAGGCCCAGCAAGATGACTGAAAACCAGGCACCAAACTGAGCTTTGAGAGCTTCTTAGAGACATGGGATCTATGACCAAGGGCTCCTGCACACGGTAGTAGGGAAGGTTTGGTGTTCACACAACATTCAAGGTAGGAACAAGCAAGCCTTGAAGGTTCCTGAAATTCCATCCCTCCATGGCAGGCACTTACTTCTACCCAAAATGAGTCAGACTCTGTTCTGCTTCCTAACTTAGCCCAACCCTCTTCTGACTCCAAAAGTCAGTGTTAATCCAACTTACTTAAGACACAGAGTCTCCTTCCTTCTATGGATAGTTCATCTGCTAAGGATAGACAGTCCTAGGAAAACATATTTGTCCCATCACATGTCCTACTCCTTCTAAAGAGTCCTAGTATAAAAGGGTGGGAGTAGGAGTAGGGTATCAGGTTGGCATGGATGGTCACCAGATCCAGAATGGATAAGGGTGGAAAAGGATTCCCTGGTTCTTTTGAGGAGGGGAGAATTCTGTCAAAGGTGTTTTACTGACCATTTTTAAAAAGAGAGGAAAAAAAAAGAAAAAAGAAAAAAAAAAAAAAAGAAAAGAAAGAAAAAAAAAGGTATTTGATGACGGTAAAAAGAGACTTGGCTCCTTTTTTGGGTTCCAAAAGCCCTTATGCTATGTTTAGTATTAAGAAAAGCCCTGAACAACTGGAGGATGCTGCTTGGGCAGCAGGAAGGGAGGGTGGATTCCACAGCCAACTCAGAGAATGGCAAACAGTGCCAATCAGCTCAATGCAGGGGACCTCTGTGTAGTGAGTGTGAATGAGCATGTGAGTGTGGGGGGAGGAGCCCAGGGCTCACTGGCTCCCAACAGTCAGTTCCCGTAGGTACGACTGGGTGAGACTGCGCAGTTCTTCCAAGGCATAGTCCTCAGGCATGGGGAGCCGGCCAATGTGGGGAGCTAATAGGCGCAAAGGGACTCGCTGAGGGTCCAGCGTTGAGTCGGAGGGTGCATCAGGGGCATGCTGAAGACTCAGTACTACCCGTAACAGGTTGGCTATACGTTTGGCCATATCTGGATAAAAAGAGCAAAGTGAGCACCAAGGACTGGGGGTGAGGAAGGGAGGGGTGGGGGGGTAATAATCATAAAGACAGGCAGTGAGCAAGCAGGAGTGGGGGAAGAGGCAAGAGGCTGACCTGATTGTGCCAAGCGATCCTTGGCATTGTAACACTGGATCTGCTCTATCCGGTTGCACAGTGAAGTCACTTTGGTGTGTAACTGCTCTAGTTCATAACCTGAGCAATCCACCTACAAAGAAGCAGAGAACCCAATTAGGCCAAGAGGAGTTCCCATCAACTCAATCCTAGCCATACACTGACTATGCAAAACTCTGAAACAAGAATGAGGTAGGGAGGGGAAAGCCCAAGAAGCTGGCTGGCAGTGTCATGTCACCATCATCTAGCCTAGTTGCTGAGGACAAGACAGGACCTTAGCATTAATACACAACAGGAAAGCAATATAGTATTCAGGGCGTTGGACTGGGAAAATCTTGAGATCACCATTCATGTAACCAGCAAGCTGTAACATGGCACTGAAAATCTACATGAATCTGGGTTCAGAGACATGGTACTGACTTCTTCAGAGCACACAGTGAAAGGTGGAGCCCAAACTGGCATTTAATTTAGGTCTCCTGACTCTAACTGAGAATTAGCATTTAATCATTAATGTAGATATTAACAGTGACTGTGATTTTGATATCAACAGAAATCATACTCCAACTCACACAACAAAATCAGGTGACTGGCTTAGAAACACTGCTTTTTCCTCTTCCTTTTACTTCCTTTAGTTAAAAAAAATTTTTTTTAAAGAAAAACACTATCAATTTGGACCTAGGCAGCAACCCAGGACTTGGGATGAGACCCTCCTCCTGTCAAATGAGAAAAAAAAGGTGGGGGAGAAAAATGATAGAAAAAAAGGGGGAAAAATGGGGGGGGAAGGGGGAAAAAAAAGGGGGGGGGAAGAAAAAAAAAAGGGGAAAAAAAACCCTATACCCCTACAAAAAACCCACAAGAATCCTCAGCCTTGTAGGATGCAAAAATGTCTAAGAATATTTATATATGTACCATTTTCAATAAATAAAGCTGGTCAAATCCAAAAAACAAAACCAAAAAAACAAAAAACCCAGGAAATCATAGCTACTTTCATACCACATTACAGTTGTTAGCAATTTTTAAATATATTTCAAAATTACAGTAGTTAGTAGATCCACTGCTGGAGCTTATTTAAGATGTTAATAAAGCACTTATTACTTACCCCAAGTTTTTAATATTTTAATAACTATATTTTAGTGTAATTAGTTTCTTGTGTAATCCTACATATTTAAATCTCAGGCATTTAAAAACATTAGCAATCCATACATGGGCTTCACCAGACTGCCCCCCGTAATACTTGCAATATTAAAACATGCCAACTGTTATGTGAAACAATTATCCTCACCAAACCTCTGACCTGACTGTATTTCTCAACTCTGAGCCTCTCACTCAAACTAGGGCTGGACAAGAGGAGGAGACTGATGATGGACAAGCCTTAGGAATGTTCGTTGTACATCCAACTTGGCAATAAGCACAAAAAAATGCTTTTATAAGTTTTGATAATCAAAGAGCTGTCATAATGGCTACATCAAATTAGCTTCACCGAAACGTCCCTCTTGCTGATAGTGCCATCTCTGCCAATGAGTTTTTCAAATCACTGTTCAGGCCTTTTGAGGTCTCTGTGGTTTTACAAGCAAGGGAAAAGGAGAATCAGGCCATGGTTTAAGGAACTCAGTACCTGCTGTATATGGTGGAGCATTTCAATGACTCGAATGTAGTCCAGGTAAACAAGCCCAGATGTTTCCCAGTCCTGGATTAGACTGCTACGCTCTGGAGGTGCCAGGTCTTCCAAGAACCCCTTCAGGTAGTCATAGTTCTCATTAATAATGGCATCTGAAGAAACAAAATATTGACCAAAAGTGCACAGAGGAAGGACATGGCAGAAATCCAAGACAGGAAGAAAGGGAGAGCTATGCTGGGTCAGATTTGAAAATTACAGTAGGTATTTTGAAATTCTCTAAAGAACAGTGTGAATGAATAATTCCCGGCTTTAGTTGCCCAGATATATCTGGTGTTGCTAAACTCCCTAAATAAATAAAGAGCTTAACATAATCATTGTATATCAAAAATATTTCTGGCAAACGGTAATGTAACAATATTGCTATTGACCCCTGCCCCTCCTAGCCCCTCCTCCTCACCAAGCATCTTCTGCAGAGAACTTTCACAAAGTATGATCTATTTCAAGTCTGCCATGTCCTGTACTGAGCATCATCTCTGGCCTGACTCATCATGGGGTCATATGTTGGAAGAATCTGGGTGATTCCAGGAGACAGAGGCCCTAGCCTGAAGCACTCACCAGAAGCTAAGTGCTGGATGACGAGTTTGTGGCAGCGGTTCCAGTGCCCTGCTTTAAATAAATAGAGGGCCTCCAAATGTTTGTCACATTCCATGTGTGCTCGCACTGCTTTGGCCTCATGAATCCATTCAGCAGGCACACAAAGCTTCTGGGTCAGGAAAGTTTCCTTAGCCCAGGATTCAGGAGTCTCTGATAGCTGGCAGTGCCGGGTAAGCACCTCTCGAACAGCTTTCTCACGCATGCTATAGGTGGAAAGATAAGTTGGAATAAATAACATCCTCACTGATACAGAAGGCTACCTCAGACAGCTCAGAGTGGCCCCTGGGGCAGTCTCTTAAACTACAGGTCTTGACCCTTTACAGATTACCTCAAATGTCGCTTAGGGAAAAAAGCCATCACATTAGCATTAATTTTTAAAATGAAATAGAATAGAAACATAGTAAAAAAAAAAGCCTGAAAACTAATACTCTGGGGAAGGTTGCCCACTGCCCAGAAAAGGCTTTCTCCTCACTAGGCTCATTTCTTGTTTCCTTTCTAGTTAACAGGAGGTGAAAGACTGGGACAGGATAATTCTAGACTCCAGAGAACAGTCCTCCGCAGCTCATTCCCAACTTTCTCCCTCCCCTCCCTCCTACATGGTCAGTGCAAGTAAACTAAGTAGTCTTTAAAAGTAAGGTCTCTTCCAGGTCCTTGTTTCCCCTTAAAGCCATCAGCCGTCCTCATTTATTTTCTCTTTACCACTAGATTTAGGCTAAACTCATTATTTCTGCTCAAGATCCCTTAATGAGAGTCCTTTTCTGTCTGGGCCAAAGAGCAACCATTTTTGTTACAGATCTCCCCCAACCTCTTTCAGGAAACAGAATCTGCTTCCCCACAGCCAATCATCAATCATCCCATCAGTCAGCCCTTTACTATGTGAAATTCCCCATGAATGTGTTTAAATAAACTCAAAGGAAAAGTCTGGGATCATTTTGCTTCCTGTTAAGGGGGAAGAGGAAGGACAAAGTCCTTAGAGAGAAGGTTGTGCTAGATGCTTTATACTTTTACTCCTTTAATTTCACAATCACCTTTGAATAGAGATTAACATTATGATTTTACAGATCAGTTGAGGACTACAGAACTCAACTTCTTTCCATGCCTTACAACATGACAGATGGTGCAGCACAATGATTAAGAGCACATACTCAGGGTATCTTGAGTTGAAAGCCTCACTCTGCCATTTACTAGCTATGTGACTTTGAGCAAAAGTTACCTCATCTCCCTATGCCTTGGGGTGCTCATCTATAAAATAAACAGTAAGAGTGTCTATCTCAGAGGTTCATTATGAGCACTGAGTTAATATATTTAAAGTACTTACAACAGCATACAAATATATAAAAGCACTATATAACAAAGTACTGTATAAATATTTTGTTCTTACTGTTACACCATGCTCCTACCGTTAACAAACTCTAACTTTATGTCATTCACAGCATGGAGAAAATGTGTTTCTCTGGTTTTCATTTAAGAAAACATTACATATCCAAGCGAGGTTGTATTTGGCAAATAGGTAAATACAATACTATCAAACTTGAGGGGTGGTGGGTGGATGGCAAGGGAATGACAGAAAGGGAGAAAGCCAGCAGACAGAAAAAAGCAGAGGCCCTCCCTCCCAACCCATGAAATTACTCCATGGATCCACTGAGGCAACTTAGCCAGCACTAATTCTGCATAATTCTAAACATGCCACATTCAAGGAATCTGTGCCTAAGTTAATGGGGTTTCCCCGCCTGGCCATATCCTTCCCTTTCCACTTAATTATTTCCCACTCCAAGTTTATAGGTTTTTAAAATCTTATCTCTAGAAAGATTCACAGAGATTCTGCAGTTCACAGAGATTTCTCAGACTGAGAGGCCTTAAGATAAATAGCATGATTTGGCACTAATCAAAAGCAATCTCATTTCTAATTTGTTCACATGAATACAGAAAGTCTGGGCTGCAGAGTGAGCTGTCTTAAGGATTATCAAAAGGCTGGACCCAAAACACATTCTAAACACTTACTTGCTGAATTTAACCCTAAGAGACTGATTTCTTTGGCACTGCTGTGTTGTACTAGATGCACCCAGTGCGTTCAATGGCTTCTCACCTTGAGTTGCTGATGTGCAGGAGGACAAAGACAGCCCACTCCCAGAGCCCTTCACTTTCCAGCTGGCCAGCATAACTGGCCTGCAGCACACCCTCACACTGCTCTGAGAGATGGGTGTAGTTAAGAGCCCGCAGCACCTCCCACAAGTGCCAGCTTAGGCGGTAGTCCAAAGGATCTGCTGTTATGCTTCGAGGCTCCAACAGCTGATTGAGATCATAATGTCTGCAAAAGGAGAATGTGCTGAGAGTTACCATACCCAGCTGACAGACCACCTGATGCGTTGGCTATTTTGGCTACGGCTTAGAAAACAATAAAGGCAGGCACCCAGGAGCAGAAGCATCATAAGCCTTACAGTCTTCCTCCTTGAAATTCAGCCAGATTATAGATCCTACTGAAAACCAAGGCACCTCCTCTCTCCTGTGGCTCTTCTCACAGGTTTGCTGATATCTGTTTGGTCTATATTTGTACCATTCTGGTACAAGGGAGTCTTCAAAACTCTTACCCTTCCATTCATAGTGTCGATTACTTTTCTTAACCATTAACTTAAAAAACAGTTGTCTTAGTGTCTTTCCGATTGTTGTACTATCTGAAGTTGCTGGAGTACTACTTCTGTTTCAACAGCGAACTGGCCTTCATGATGGTTATTTCTTTCTATGGCTTGTAATTCTCACCTTCAATTTTGTCTACAGTGGGTATTATTATTTGTACAGAAATCCAGGTACCTGAGAGTTGAAAGTCTCCCTAAAGACTTTAGCTTTTTCTTCTGCTGGGGGCCCAGGGATTTCAGTGATTCCAGACCAGTCTATGTGTTACATTCCTAGCTTGCAAGTCCCAGACCATAGGACAGTATAAGCTAAGATCCCCCACCTGCAAATTTTAAAGATCTGGGCCTTGGATTACTAACTAAAGCTTTTCCCTTTCACCCAAGATCCCAGACATTTTACGTTTCTAACCCCTCTCCAAGCAATGAGTAGTTTTCCTTGATCAGTGCTATCAAACTGAACTTTGTGTGATGATGGAAATGTTCTATAATCTGCCTTGACCAATAAGATAGCCATTACCACATGAGGCTACTAAACACTTGAAATATGGCTAGTGTGAATGAGCAATTATATTTTAAAAATTTAATTTAAATTACAATAGTCTTAGGTGAATAGTGGCCCATTATATTGGGTAGTGCAGTTCCTTACACTTTAAGAGTTTTAGTCATACCAATTTACCTCACATGAGAACAAGGGTTACTATCCCATTCTGGCTTTGATTTCTCTATTTCTGGCACCTTGAGGTACATCTCTCAGAAAAGGACTCCCTAGGCTCAGGAGCCCTCAAATGACTAACACATGGCTCTGATTTACCTGTCACTGTAGAGTTTTAGAAGGTGAAAACAGACGTCTTGAAGAGGTCTCTGTGAGTCTTGCTCCTCCTCTACCACATAGCCAGAGCCCTCCAGGTATGAGGGAAGTGGGGAGCAGGCATATCTGTCACCTTCAGAGGTATTCTGAAGAATTTGATAAAACAATACATCAGCTGCTAGTGTGTTTCACTGGATGCTGTCATGTCTCAGTTACTCGGATGTGTACTAGGAACGATGGGACATTCTCTAAAAGAATGTCTCAAGGATTTTAAATTTATTTTGATCAGAGACATATTTCACCTTCCTTCAATGGACTGGCAAAGACCTCAGATAGCTCTCACGAATCCCACCTCCTCTATTGCCATAATTCATATTACACTCATTTTTTTTTTTTAGTGTTCTTTTTTTCCTGAGAAGTAATTCTGGCAAATGATATCAAAGACAATTAGAATGAACAGTAAGAAAAGAACGGAATGATGGCATTAAAAACAGTAATAATTCTTTATAACATGGACAAGGAATATGAGATATAATAATTAGAGGCAAATTTCAAATACGCTAATTTGGGGCTATACTGAGGTCTCAGGGAATTCATAAAGGAATAAGATAGCATTAGGAATGAAGAAAAACCCTCTGATGCTGGGGTAGGAAAACAGCAATAAGAAAGTCAGTTATGGAAACTCATTACATTAAACAAAATAGAAGTAGATACTTGAAGAAGTTTCCCATCAGATTTTAGGTGTCCATTTCAACTTTATGGTACTTAAAAAAAAAGAAGGCACTGAGGAAAGAGTATTAGGAAATACGACTTGATGGTTTTTTCCTCCGCAGTACTTCTCTAGCAAAAAGAAAACTCCTACCAGGACTCTTACTTCGCTCTTCTAAACACATATACCTGAAATGCTTCTTCATACATGCTGAGTGCCCTGGAAATGGAGGCTGTTGGGGGAAGCAAATACCAAAGATGGACAGCCAAGGAACGTTTCCAGTCCAACTGAGAGCATACATTGATTTGCTTCTGCTCTGAGAGCTGCCATACCTGTAGGAAACAAAATTGCCATTGCAGCTCTACATTATACATTATCTGGTACTGGTTACTGCCCAGGTCTGCATGTTGTTCACTCATTCAAGTTGCATTTTAAATGATTTAAAAAGCAGTGTTAATGATCCAGATATAAAACACATAGTCCCTTGGAGGAAGATGACAGGGTGGACTTAGACAATCAGTTCTCTAAGAAGAGATGAGAACCACTGAGAACAAAGAGGTCTTCTCACTCACTGCCCAGAGCTGCCAACGTTGTGACAAAATTCTGATTAGCTACTTCATTTTTGGAAATTGATGGCAAGTAAACAGTAGGCAGCAACAGAAAACTGGCTTAAAATAATTATGATACATCATCCATAAAATGGACTAAAAGTAGCTATTAAAAAGAAAAAGGCCGCACAGCATGAAAAAATGTTCAGATACAGTGTGTTAAAAAAAGTTGCAGAACTGCTATATATAATTCATTTTATTTGAATATATACAAGGGTAAATATGCATGCATATATGTTGAAATAGACATATGTCTAGGAAGACAGGTAAATTATGTTGTTTATCACTATGATATGGGATATAGTGAATTTTAACATTTTGATTTCTATATAACCAATTTTCTCCCCACTGTACATGTTGTACCTATATAATTTGAAAATATTTCTGCTAAAAATTAAATATAAGTTGCTTAGTTATGTATAATAGTGTACAATTTACAAAGAAAGCTCTTTGCTTTAACCTCAAGCAATCTTGAATCTATGAGAAAATTTATATGTGCGTTTACAAGAAAAGAGGAAAATACCGGTTTTCCAGCCAATAGGGCAAAGATGCGCAGTCTCTCATCCTGGATGAAGCAGTCAGCCTGGAGCTGATGCCAATCCACCAGCTGCATAGTAAGCAGCTCACGGACTGACTGGCTGCCAACCAACTGGGATAAAAGAAGGGCAAGACGATGATCACCTATAAGAGAAATGGAAGTTCTCTGGTAATGAGAATTCACAGACTTGGGGAAACACTAGGGGTCATTATCTTATTTCTTCTAGCCTGAAAGAGGGAGAACTGAACACCTGAGTGCTTTCTACAGTAGTGCTAAAATATTGACAAGAACTTACCATTTTCTGCTTGGGAAAAAAGTCTTCAATGTAGTTTAACCTAAATTACATATAGATTGTATAGTATGCAGAGTTCAGTGTCAGATCTACTATTACTTCTGTGACCCTACACAAGGCACTTCATCTGTAAAATGGAGGGAAATGTCATCTGGTTCAAAGTGAAAACTGAGATGACATAATTGTAAACATGCCCAACTAGTATATACTATATAATGACACAGAAATGGCAAATCAAACCTAAAGGAAAAACATATGTATGTATGAGATGAAGAGAATGGTTGAATCTTTCACTCTCATGGGTCCAGTATCTCTCTAAATAAAAAATTTTAAGTACAAAGGCCTGGGGCAATAAAAAGATTCTAATTAACCAGAATGTGAGAGGATGGAAATTCCAGTTGATGATAATTGCCAGTTAAACTGTGAGTTAAAAGAATAACACTCTGCTTCAGCCCTAATACGTACCTCCTAAAAGTCAATACTTCTTTTCCTTTTGTTTTTGGGTCAGTGTTTACATGACTAAAGTACTGTCCTGCCAGAAACTAAGGCTCTCATCTCAGAGTTTCCTTCACAAACTAGAGAGGCCTAGAGGAAAGAAATCATGCATCAGGAACACTTCTAGAAATGTGTTAACAGGCCAAGCTGTCTCCCTGATTGTATATATAGGCAACCAAAATATGACTGGACTATGATTCATGTGTTAAGTGTTGCAGCCCATTTGACCATGAGCTGCTAGTATTCTAGGCAAAAAATAGTAAAGGAAAAGATTATTTCTGTGTATCTACTGCACAAATTTTTAGAAGAAACTGGCATGTCATATCTTGATCCAATCATTTCATTAAGATCATCTCTCTTTGCTCTGATCAACCATTCAGCTTTTGCCAATCCTTGATTTTTCACATAGACTTTCCTGTTAATAAGAACATAAATCTGAGCAAATGGTAGGATTCTAGAATACTTCAAGTTGATTTTGGTGTATGGTGCGAGGTAAGGATCTAAATTCATCTTCTGCATGTGAATATCCAAATATTCCAGCATTATTTGTTGGTAAGATTATCCTTTTCACATTTAAACCATGGCACTTTTGTTATAAATTAACTGACTATAAGTGAAAGAGTTTTATATTTGGATTCTCATTACTCTTCCATTGATTTGTATGTTCATCCTTGTGCCAGTTCCACATTGTCATAATGCTGTAGCTTTATGGAAGTTTTGAAATTAGAAAGCACTAAGTCTCCTAACTTCATTCTGTTTCAAAACTGTTTAGGTTTTTCTACATTTCCAAAGGAGGATCAGTCTATTAATTTCTGCAAAAACATCTGCTAGCGATTTTGACAGAGATGGCATTGAATGTACAGATTAATTTGAGGACAAGAGACATCTTTACATACTGAAATTTCCAATCCATCAATGGTTCTCAGCTTGGGTCGTTTTGTCCCCTAGGGAACACTCGGCAATTCTGGAGATGTTTCTGGTTGTCACAACTAGAGGGGAAAGGACTGTTTTGTATATAGGGCAGAGATGCTGCTGAATATCCTACAATGCCCAGGACAACCTCTTACAACGAAGTATTACCAGCCAAATAAGCCAACAGTGCTGGGGTTGGGATGTATTCCACAAATATAGGACGCATTCTTATTTATTTAGATTTTTACTTCCCCAGCAATGGTTTTCAGTATATAAGCCACTTTTGTTACATTTGTTCCTTAAGCATTTTATTTTTTCTGATGCTACTGTGAATTTAATTCTTTTAATTTCACTTTTTGGGTATTTGTTGCTGATACATAGAAATACAATTGAATTCTGAATACTGATTTTTGAATCCTGATACCTTGCTCAACTAGTTTATTAATCTCACTACCTTTTCTGTAGATTCCTTAGGACTGTTTACATACAGAATTACGCCTTCTGTGAATAAAAACAATTCTATTTCTTCCTTTTTAATCTATACGACTTTTGCTTCTTAATCTTGTCTGAATACACTGGCTACAACATCTATTACAATATTGTTCAGAAATGGTGTTCTCAATCTTAGGGTGAAATCATTCAGTCTTTCAATATTAAATATCCTGTTAGATGTAGCTTTTTTATAGGTCTGCTTTGATATCAGGACAATAATGTCATCACAGGATGAGTTGGAAAAAGCTACCTCCTCTACTTTCTGGAAGAGAGGTAGAAAATTGGTATTATTTCTTCTTTAAATTTGTGTTCACCAGTGAAGACATCTGGGCCTGAGCTCTTCTGAGGGAAGATTTTAAATTACTAATTCCATTTTTTTTATAGATCTATTTAGATTTTCTACTTTTTCTTTCTTTTTAGGGGGGGGTGTCAAAATTTTATAGATGTTAATATTGGCTAAAATAGAATTAAGATTCAGAATTTTAACCAGCCAAAGAAATTCAGATAAAATCAAGATAACATACACAGAGAAATCATGGTACACAGTAATCATTTCATATCGAGTTTTACACAGAGTATTTCATGCATGTGACTCTGTCTTGGAGAAAGGCTCCAAATGTGTGAATTTTTTAGAGGCACCTTAAAGAATTAGATGACTTTTCACAGAGACTTTTCCCTCTCTATTCTATGCAAAGAAGTCACTTCAAATTTTAATTTTGATCATAGGCGCTCTATTAATAATGAAGAAAAGATATCTCATAGTTGTTGATTTTTCTGATTCTGATATGTAGTAATGACCATAAAAGAAAAAACATGGGTATTCCTGGGCCCTGGAGTTCATTCCCCTCTAAAGGTTTACTCCTATTCAGCAAGATTTTCTACTTTTTCTTGAGCTATGGTAATTTATATCTTCCTAGGAATTTGTCAATTTCATCTACTTTCTCATAGTATTATTCCCTTTTCTGTAATGGTAATGGTCACTCTGTCATTCCTGTTTTTGGCAATGTTTCTTTCCTCTTTTTTTCACTGTTCGTGTAAAGGTTTATAAACTTTGATGAATGCCTCTCATTAAAGGATGGGGAACTAAAAATATACAAATATATATAGGAGGTCCAGAAATTAAACTTGTATATATTTATTTGAATGAAATAAGTGAATTAGTGCCACACACATAAGTTTAAGAAGTTCAGAATATTGTTTACAGTTGGTGGGGGAAGTGGGGGGTCGGAGGGTACAACCTAGATGTCAAAAAAAGGAATCTGCTAACATGGTACATTTTATATATATTAAAAGAATACTAAGAAACAATTTACTACAATATCTACATTATAGGACATTATAGAACAGAGTATATATATATAGCAGAATATCATCTTTGAAAAGTTCACATGCGTATGTTGTTCTGTGTATACATTTGTATATACATTATATATTACAAAGTAAACACTGCAAGTACAAATTGCACATTGAAATGTTTGCAGTGATTAGCACGAAAAGATTTAGGTGACTTAGTTTATTGCTTTTTTCTCATCTACATTTTCTAGTTTTACTGTAAATGCATGTGTGGCATATAAAATAGAAATAATTTTAATTAATTAAATTTAAAGTTTAAGGTTATAAAAGGAAAACTAGAAGACACATTCCATATTCTAGAGGAACCAGCAATCTTCCTGGGAAATTTATACCTAATACTCAGGTTAGAACATAAGGGCAAACCCACAATTAAGGGGTAGGGACAGTGAGTAGGAAGTAGGCAGGGGTGTAGAGAAGGACCGTATGCCCTACCTGACTGCTGGGCCAGAGAGCAGGCCTCACTGATCCTCTTCCCGGTGAGGTAGCTGAAGACAGCCTCCACAGGGTTGTCTTTTCGGGTTAAGGAGACTTCCTCCTCAATTTGAGGTGCAGCAGTATGGGACAGCCAGCGAGAGAAAGCTCTTCTTCGTTCCAGAATCTGAATGTATTCACCAGGCTCATCCAGCTGGCTATCAAGCTCCTTCAAGTGGCCCCACAGAGCTTCACATAATGTCCATGTTAGGCTCCAGTGCTTCACAACTAAGAAAGCGACAGGAAACCAACGCAATGATATGAAGTCATAGATGGAATCACTTTGTGGCATTAAAAGTACATAAACTAATAAACACCCCAAACAACAACTCAAGTTGATTTCCCTGAATCTGTCTCTACTTCACTCAACTGTGTCTTAACAAGGTCCAGGTGTGTGGCATAACAGCTTGCTCACTCCATGGTACTTATGTAACAAATACAACTCTATGCTCCTGTAAACAGGTTCTGCTAACATAATTATGGCTAATATAATCTCTTATGATAGAGGGAAGTCCTCTAATTTGATCAAATTCTGTTCACAAAATGCTTTAGGAAATACAAAGTGTTCTGAAAACTTGTGAGTTGAGTATTCTCTGCTATAGGCACAGCGTAACATTTAGTGAGCCTAAATAATACTGCTCAAAGCATTTAAGAGTAAACCACCTCTAATCTACACAATGTAACTATACAGTAGTTACGATCTTCATTTTACAGATGAAGAAACTGAGGTATACAGAATTAAGTGACTTGCTCAAAATTACAGGCAATATGTAACAGAGCCAGGATTCAAACTCAAGTAATTGAAGTCCAACTCTATACTCTTAACCACTACGCTATATTGCCTTTCAAGAAGGAAAACAAAAAGGAAGCACTGTTTACTACCTTAAGTTACTTAGGAGCATGCACTGGGAATATGACTTACCTATTTGAAAAGAAGATGAGACAACTGAAGCAAACACAGAGATGAACATAAACAATTTCCAAAATGTGTGGTATGGAACATTCTGAAAATAATCTCCATTTTTCAATAAAGGTCATGTGAAATGTTGTGTGAAACGTGTGATTTTTCTACTTGAAATAGTACCCAAATTAGAAAAGCCCTTTATCAAAGTATTGGTTAAGAAAAACACGGTCATCATAGTTATAAAGAGATACCAGTGAGAGAGGTCAGGGAGGGAAGTTATAACCACCAAAGTTGTTGGGAAGACCAAGTGGGACTTGAGTTGGACATGGAAGAACGGGTGGTATTTAGAAAAGCAAGAAGGAAGAATCTCTCTCTACCTATGTTCTCTGGGTGGGGAGAGATGGAATTTCATAAATCTATGGGATTTGATCCGCTACAGTTCCTTTGAACAAGGGCATAAGAGTACTGATAAACAATGATATAATTTCTTCCTGTTTGGGATTTTCCTCATCCCAATTCTACAGATATCTGCAACCTCAGGCATCCTCCCACTACACTGGCAGAAAGAAATGTGTACTCCTAAGAACATATGCTCCTCCTGTTCCTGAGACATCAAAGGTTAGAAGCATAGTCCATACTCACTTTGTGCTTCCAAAAAGTCTCCTGATGCTTCTTTAACCCAATCTGCATAGTCATGAATGACAGCAACTCCCGGATTGGGGACAATGAGAGGACACAGCTCATCCACATGGACAGTACTATGTTTTAATTTAAGCTCCAGAGGTGTCTGGTATAACTGCAGGTCTTCATCTGGCTTCTGTTGCCTCAAACTGAGTTTTTCCAAATGAACCTTGAATGGAGACTCAGTTAGGCTACAAGGGCAAATAACAAACAAGATAGAAAATGACAGATGCTAGAATTTTCTGCCAATCAAACTTGTTTCTTTTTATGATGACAAATAAACAATGTAAAACATTCCACTGTGATTTTAAAGACATTTTGTTTCCTAAAATCAAACAATAACTTATTTGATATCTATTGAGCAAACACATTATCTGATCCATAAATTTAGGATCCCAAGGCTTCTTAAGCTAGATTATAACAAGCATGGGAATCAGTACAATCAGACTTGGAAATAGTCTCTGTAATATATCTGGATACTATGAAATCTAATGGCCAAAAGCTATTTGTGGACACGTGCTTCTCAAATCATACTTAGCGAGGTATCAAAAGTCATGCGGCTAATAAGCTTATAGATAAAAGGAACTGACTCTCACTTAAGATGAGCATATAGGCAAACTGGCCTTGATCCAATTTTTAAGATTGATATTAATAACCCCTAAAATATCACAACATCATGCATAACCTAGGTTTAGGATCAACATTCCTAACTGTGAGGTACAGGAGATGCTGTTTTTTTTTTTTTATTTCTTCAAAATCAACTTTGTAAACTAAGAATAATAGGTGAGCATAGATACTTAATCTGTAGTAAAGGTAGCACAATTTGTTATAATTATAAAAAGTGAACAGAAAAATGTTACATATCTTGTACAAAACTGTTTGTATACTGCCTAATAACTACCACAAAAGTATATATATAGATAATCAGTAGTGCATGTATCACTATAAACATACATAATATTAATGGTGGGGATTATGTAGAAATATGTAACATATATAATTACCAGATTTCCTTATTTCCAAATACTTGTGTACGGGTTATCCATAGCTCATACATCTACCTTATTAGGTCTAAGATATAGGAAATGTGCTTTAATTGAGACTATGTCTTATATATGAAGAAATCACAACTATCTAAGTGAGAAAACAGAAAAATGACTAATGCGATAAAAAGGATGAAAACTCAAGGAATGCTGCAGCATTAGCTTTGGGTCTGTTACATTTCCAACTACAGTTTAACCATTAGGTAAGTATCATATACATTTCATACCCTCCCTGATGATACAAACGGAGTTATTAATCATTTTAGTTTTTAATTATACAAATATCTTCTGCTATCTAAAACTGTGCTGAGATTTTATCTAGAAAGATCACAAAGCAGGGCCCTGACCTTGGGTCTCTTGGCAATGAAAGATTTTTCTCACCTACCATATTGCCTTCCTTAAAAAGCATAAGGAAATGTAACTCACGATTTAACAGCTACTGGATTAGGCAGGAATCCATATTCCATAGACTCAACAATCTGATGATTTTCCAGTTCCTGAGAGCTGCACAGCTGTTCTCCACTATTAGCCAGAGTCCAGTTGGGGCCCCAACCAACCCGAAACGAGCGTCCCATAAACAGGGCCATGTCCATCAAGAGTTTCCCCTTTCCATAGGTGACAGACTTTTCAAGAGGGACTAGGCCTGGTTGCCTGCGTGTACCCACTGTTTTCAACTGAACCTCAGGGGCTGGGCTGGGCACTGTGAACACAGAGGTCAGGGGTGGAGGGACAGACCAAGGGGATGTGGATGGGATATTCATCAGTGATGGTGTTCTGGGAGTGCGACATTCTTGTAAAGAGGCACTTGGTGAAAGAAAAGTTCCACTTGTAAATTTTGATTGTAGCAACCCACCTACTAAAATAATGAGAAAAAGTCTATTAGGAAATACAGTCTATTGATTCTTGAACAACAACCAGCAAAGTTGAAATTAGTTTTATTAAACTAATTAAATCAGATATAGATGGCCAGAAGCAGGTTATATATCAGACTCTGCAGAAATTACTTTTTCAATCAGGAAATCAAGGCAGGAATTCTAATGATGATGATGTCAACAACAATAACATTAATAACAAACACTATTACTATTTAAAAAACTATCTAGCACTTACCTGCAGCAGACTCCATATAAGCCATATGTATACATTGTTTCATTATTTCATTTTATCCTTCAATAACTTTAAGTGAAGAATATTACTGCTCTCATTTTATAGGTAGGAAAACTGGGCTGTTCTGTTACTTGTCCAAATCCACAAAGCTACTAAGTGGCATGCCTGAGAGGTAAGCCCAGATAAGTCTGACACCAATGCTCATGGCCTTATCAGAATGCCAAATGCAACCCTTTCTTAGTCACTATAAAAAGTAAGATCAGAACTCAAATTCCTAACACTCCAGCACTCAGTGCTAGACTTAAGGAAACAAGAACCCACTGAGGCATCTTGTGTTGCATATATGCCTTTTAGAAGGATAGTTCTTGTTACTATTGCCTGTTTCCTATCTAAAGTAAGGAGTTAGTTATTGAAGTATGAGATTTTCATGTAGTGCTCATTATGGAAAAGGCTGTTATAAAAGTTTAACTGATGTTTTATTATTTTTTTTAAATGAAAGTTTGTAATAAGGGCACTGAAAAGAATTGAAAAATTAACATTTAGTTTTTAAGACAACATAAACAAATCTCTTCCTAGTAGTTCCTCTGGCTTTCAAAATGTTCTGAAATTACACCTGCTTATTAAGTGCTTTGTTGATACCAATACTTGACCTCCAATCCACATAGTTACAAGCTCACTAGAAAAGAAAAAGCTTTAAAATGAAACAGGTAAATGTTTCCCTGGGAATTTGGGAAGGTTTAGGGCAAAGCAGAAAAGCTTTGTGTATTGTAAGAAGCAACAGTTGCCCTTGGAAAGCAATAAGGATAGAGTTAGAACTATACAGAGTATAGTACAGGACAATACGCCCCTAAACGAAACACAAATGCCTTTTTCTCCATACAACTTCTGCATCTGCACCAAATAATATTGTTTTTTTAAAAACAGGCCCCACCTAACATATTTTTAAGAGTACGTTTCCTTTGGCATCCTTATATCAGATGCCTTTAGAGGGATATTTGCTGGAAGTTGACTCAACTTAGAAGAAGATACATGAGTAGCTGAACTTTATGGCTTTCTTGTAAAACAGCATTTTTTTACAGTACCTAGTGAACGGGATTTTGATGAGTGAGTTGCTGAAATGGGGAGCCTGGGAGAACAGATTTCTTGAGAAGTATCTGCTTTAGAAGGAAGACGACTGAAGCGTTGATCCATGACCATATCTACATCTTCTTCATCAGCAAGCAAAGATGCTTTCATGATCTAAAAAGGTAATACCTATAGAATGAATATGCTCCCCAAATGCAAAGGCCATAAAAGAAAAATACAGTTTACAACAACCAATAAAAAGTTCTGTCTCAGGCTGTGTCCAGAGCTAGTATAAAATTTGTGTGACTGACTCCATTACACTATGTGTGCCTGGAGGACAGAAGTTATAAACTCCTCTGCTTTGTATATGCAGTCTCACCAGAGCCTGGCACACAGCATTACTCACATGTTTGCTCAATGAATTAATTTCAAAGTCAAATAGAAGACAAAGGCTATATTCATAATGTGACAAAAGGCATAAGCAGGAGCAAGTGGAGACAGAGCTTAAAGAAACTTGTATCTATGTTTTTTTTTTTAACTTTTGTGGAGCACTTTCTAGAGCCTCAAAACCACTCTGAAGTAAATGAACTATAAAATGAGTATTTTATAGAGAAACATCAGTGCTCACAGATATTAAATGACTTGCCCAAAAATCACATAGTAACGGTTACAAAACTGAAGTTAGAATCTAGGTCTTCTGAATCTCCATATAGCCTTCCCTCCACAAACAGGAAAATGATGCCCAAACATGGGCCACATTCGTTTCTTCTCATTCCAATGACCACTCAATGCTCTTAAGTGATTAATGAAGGAAAAAACCTGATGTGATGAAAGGGAGATAAATATTAGTTTGGATTCCTGGTGTAGTAAGGATGGGTTAGGACTTCACCTGTAAGACATGTGGATTAATTCCCAGTGAAGATGCAATGTGTGTTGAGGCGGACACAGGTTCCTGATCCTCAGGCACGCTCTCTTCTAACATGGAATCCAAAACTGGCTCCTGGGTGATATCTACCATGTCACTGTCCAGTTCCACAACCCTCCCTAACTGCTCCACCTCTGGGCTCTGGCTCTGTAGATAGCAGAAAGATTAGGGAAGCAGCATTAAATTACATCAAATAGACATAGAGCTTCTAGAACATATTAAGTTTATTTAGAATAAAACAGTATTAGATTCTGCCCATTCTATTATAATGTGAGGTAACAAATTTGCTAATCAGGATTTAGTAACAATTACTCCAAAGTTCTTCTATTAGTACTTAGGATCTAAATGAGGATTCATGGAATCACCCTTCTGTAATGTTACGGTCTGCTGTCTGCAACCTACGCCCGCACTCACCCTGAACAAATGGTAGCCTTCAAATAAAGATTATGCTTTCCCTGATTTAGCTAGCAACTGTAATTTTCTGATTCACACAGGGTTATCCTGCCCTTACACTGCCTTGTAGCCAGAAATCAATAGGCCAAGAGAATAAAAGGGACAAATATCAAAGTCTTCAGAAACTTTGCGTTTTCTTAAAGAAAATATTTTGAAATAAAATTTCCAGTTAACACACACAACTTTGACCTTGGAATTTATCTTTTGAGTGACTGAATCCTAAGGTTAGCTGGATTCTGCCTGCACAGTACCATGTCAGATGAGAACTGTCTACTCTGATTTCCCAAAGGAAAAACAAAATAACATGAGGAACATTTTCAATCCGGGAATAATTCATTTATGTTTAAATGTGTCAAGAGTTATATTTACATTTATTAAGCAGTTTTAAAGATACAGCCATGATTAACAGTATGGTTTAAAAAGGTTAATACAAAGCTGAAACACACTGTAAAATTAATTGGCTCAGACATTTCATTGAATATATCCTAAAGTCACACACGACTTGGTAAAATGTTAACAAGGGGCTAAGCCAATTTATGAAACAACCTCATCTAAGAGTTCTACCAGTTATCTTTCTTATAATATCATCTGTAGATTGCTAAACCCCTACAATTTTTTGGTTTATCTTTCACAAGTGGCCTATTTCATGCAAAATTTCAAAAGGATGCTATTATACAACAGATGGTTTAAAAAAATTTTCATGACTTCTTTGGACCAAGAAACAATTAGTGTAACTGTTGAAAACTTATTTTCAATGGTCTATCTATTACTCCTCTGCATCCCTTCAACAAATATCCTCACTAAAAAAAAGATTACTCCCATCTATAACCATACCAAAAAAACCCCCAAGAAGCTGAGGTGTTGGATACACGGTGAATTGCCACTTTAGTCGTGAACATTCCCCAAGGACTGCTCTAACAAAACTGCAAGCTAGGTAACAGTTAAAATGCAAAAATTATACTTTTTAAAACTCCCCAGACTCTGTAAACTTGTCAGAATACCCTCTTCTGCTTGTTCCCATAACACTGTCTGTACTTATTTTACATAATGTACCATGACATATTATTTCTTGTAATATATATACACATACACATTTATGTGTGTGTGTGTATATATATATATATTTGTCCCACCAGATTGTGAAGGCTTGAAAGCAGAGATTATAACCTACTATTTTATGTATCTAACACCAAGTAGTGTTAAATCCAATATTCATCAAAACACTTTATTTCTACTGCCTAATGCAGTGCTTGCTATAAGGTAGAAAATGCGACTAATAACTATAAAAGGATAAGGAGTGATTATAGGTGGGAGGAAAGGAAGAAGGGGGAGGATGGCTCCAATTTTTTATACTATTCAACAAACGAGTAATAGTAACAGCAAGACATGCTCACTTAGAACACGTTTTGGCAAAGTGGGAGGATTTCATCAAATAACTAGATCAGAGTCCTATGGGACTCAGCCTATCTTGAAGAATACCAAGGATCAAGATTTTATTTGCTTTACCCTTATGCGTAGACTTCAAACCTAATAGGCTAATATCGTCAAATAAGTGAACAGAGGAAAAGAATTACTATGAAACTATGAGGTCCAGGCAAAATCCTAGAACCCCCGTGTGTGAATTTTAAGTATATCTAAGTAATTGCAATAAACTACCCCAAAAGAGGTTACTTTTAAAGAAATCTTGGGAGAGCAGTGCTTCTTCAAAGTCAGTACTAGAAAGAAAAGTAGACTAATAAAAAATTGGTGACTCAGAAGAAATTAAGGAAGGAAAGAAGGAAAAAGAAAAGAAGTCCATTACAAATACTAAGTACACAGACACTATTTGTAAAATGACTGTCTCTTTAGATACATGGAAGGTCAGGTTTCAGTACTGAAACATTAATGTTTTTGGAAATCTCGATTCTCTAACTCATATAACAAAATCCTAAAGATAAAACATCTCTTAATCCAATAAAGTAATTCAAATAAGTAAAGTATATCAAGATATCCTTATTCAATAAAGGGTGAATACCTAATCCAAGGTCAAACTGATGTTTAAATAATTCGTATTGTCCTCCCAGCCAAATAGCTTAATCCAGTATAACTACTACTATTGCCTGCCTCCAAAACAACCTGTTTTCTAAGTGCAAAGAATGTTTTATGTTCATTTTGCTGGAAAATCAGCACTGTCAACAATATTGTGTTCAAGGGAAATTCCATAACAGGGTTTCAAAGGCCCACAAGAATGTGCATGTTTATACACATACATTCATGGATATTACTGCAGGAGGAATATGACTCAATAACATGAATATATGAAGCAAAAGGATTTGTGGCTATAGAATTATTTTATATATACGTAATATATAAAAACTAGATAAAATATGAATAAAATATATAGATTCACTGGATAAATTTAGATAGCTGCCACTTTATCTTTTTTTAAAATGTAAACAAAAGATAAAGTGGAATTTTATTCTAAACCCTAATCACTTTTTTCCTTTAAAAAACTTTTTTTTGAAGTACAACTATAAAAAATTTATTTGAATGAGCTCATCAAGTGAACAATGCTAAGTTTCTGAGCAACTCGTTTGCTTTGACTGTACTGAACACAAGTCACATTTCAGAATAAGGCTGAGAGGAAAAAGCAACGTGTCTCTCTACCTCAATGCCAAAGATCTGACAAACAGTTCTGAAACCTGGGTGTATATCTCAATCACCTGAACCTGAGCCTCATGCTAAATCTATAGAATCAAAGCTCACCAAGGTACTGAGGCAGTCAGCTGAAAACTGAGTCTCAGATGAGCATTTTGGAACAAATGTTCTAACTACCAAACAAATGTTTGCAACCGCCTTAATTCATCTGTGTGATGAAGGTTTTTCTGCCAACATTTTCTCTAACTTAAAAGGCATAAGAGATTACATAAAAATTTAGTTACCTTTCTGTTTTCTGTTTGCTTAGATTTACCTGCTTCTTTAGGAGCAAAGCAAGGCTTAAGAATAAAACACAAAGAGGGGACTGAGGAAATTATATAAAAGGTAGTAGAATAAATGTAATCATTAAACAAAACCAGTTTCCTAGCCTCAAAGAATCCCCCCACCCTCAGAGAACCTGAGAGTGTGTACAGAGGAGAAAAAAAGCTACAACAGATTGAAGGACCACCACATCACAGAAATCAATCTCTTCAGGAGGCCAGGTGACAATGTGAAGACAGTCATCTTGATGCTTGGATGAGAAGACTATGCTGTTCCCAGTTTATTCAGATGGTTCAAGTATTTTCCTCATGCCAAGTAAAATGTAGGTCTCTGGTACTAATAACTAAAAACTGTGCAACCACTGGCATTTCCCACCCACCTCACTCACGTCACTGGGCATCACAGTGGAAGAGTTCTCCAGAATCACACATTACTGGTCTAACACATTAGCGTGACTATCTAAACAATCTACCCATTTCTCCCATTTCTGCTTCCTGCACCCAAAAGGTCAAAGACCACCAACTTCCTCTATCAAAGGAGATACCTGAAAAAGATACCTATTCATTGTTCTCATTGCCCATCTTAATCCTTACCACTTTTTCCTAGAACCTTGTTCTCCTGAAATTTTTTGGTGCTCAACTTTTCAAAAGAACTCTCACCTAGTGTAGTGCCATCATAGAAATTTACAGTTACCTCTTACTATTTGTATTCAGGGAATTAAAGAGCCTAAAACCAATGATGTGATATGAACATTACATAAATTTTCTGTCTGTCCACAGAGAAGCTTTTCTTTTCCAGCTGTATATTTAGGATCCTACATACTACTTTTATTGGCAGAAATGAAGGCTAACTCTTATCTTAGAAATACATGTAAACGGAAGATTAAAAAACACTTTGGAAAGAGAATTTATACAAAGTATATGATTCAGACAAAATGAATATGGGTAACTGGAAACTCAAGTCCATTTATAGCCATTTCTTAAATTCAGAAGAGATTTCTTGGGGCTATTCAAAATGCTACAAATAGTATAAAGGTATGTCAGCATATGTCCCATTTCCCACTTATTGGACCCCCCCATGCGCAAACATGAACATACGTACACAACAATCTGCAGACAGTGCCTCCCAAGAAATTATTTAATAAATCATAAAAGTTGCACATTTTAGCAGCCATAAGAATTGTAGCGTGGAAAATTCCAAAGGTCCTGCTTTAAGCAGCTGAGAGGTAGAGGATGCTTTACAAAGAAATTCTGTTTCAAGTTCTCTTCTTTGAGGGAGTATGGCGGCAAAGAAAAAAATTTTTTTTATAAAAATTTTTTGATTGAATATAAACATCCAAATGAAAGTAAAACTCAACGTGTTGGCAAAAAAACTACCTGATATTTAAAATACAAACCTTTCCTTGCAAGGACAAAGGCATATACTGGCTTCACAATACTGCAAAAGAGTATGATACAAGTAACTGCAATAAACAATGCAGCCCCTACTCTCTCCAAGCCAAGTAATTCATTTGTATTCTAAAGCTTAATGTATTTTCATAAAGATTATGTATTGTTAAAATACAAATATCAAGAGATTACCTGAAGTATAAGTGAACAACTTAAGAAAAATGGAGTTTAAAAACCCTCGCAGAAAGCTAATTGAACTTTTAAAAATCCACAGAGGTAAAGAATAAGAATAAACTGCATATTAGATAGTCAACAAAAGTAGGATTTACTTGGCATCAACCTACACAAGCAAAATACTATCTTAAGTTGATCACTGAGCAGAGAATTCAGAAGTCCAAATGAAAGAGAGTGAGGTGTTTAAGAATGACAATCTGTAGAAGCAATGATCCAAACAGTAAGAGAATTCTTTAAATCTCTCAAGTAAAAAACAGATGCCAGTACCACATTAAGCCCTCCTTTGTACTTGTCTCAATATGATTGCCAATACATTTGTACTCTTCAAAGTTCCAGGTGTCACATAACAGCTTTGTACTAGCTGAATGACTTGCTTTCAACTTCTGTATCATGGATTCCATTCAAATTCATTGTCCTGTCTCTACCTGGGGTGGAGGTGCTGGTTTGCCATTAAGAGCCATCTGGAATGGGGTGGCCTGGCCTGCAGGAGGCAAAGGGGCAGTCTTCAACTTCTTTGTACTAGTTTTGGATGGCCGTTCCTCCTCCTCTTCATCAGAATCCTGAAGGCCATACTTAGAAAAATGGGAGACCTAAGGAAGAGAAGAATCCAACAAAATCAGTTTTAACACTATTACATTCAGAAGGGTTTCCACAATGCTTGCCCTTGCAACCTTGCAGAATTAGCTTTAAAAAAAAATCAAAATATTTAAAGCACAATGAAATGTCATTCATCATACTTTACTGTTTCCCCAAGATTTAGATGTTTGGTACATGTAGTAGATACTCATATAATTACTGAATATATTAATACAGGAAACTAAATCCAAAAGAGCCCTTACTATTTTTGCATCTATATACTGTCTAGTTCTTCTCTACATACACAAAGGCCTTCAACGGGCTAAATATTCCAACTGGCCTAGAAGAGAAACAGTCCACTGTACTAAACTATCAAGGAAAGAAGTCAACCTCTACATCCCCAAAATCTTTAAAAGAATAACAATTATTTAGGAAGAGCTGATCTATCAAGAGACAAAAATTCTCCCTAATGTCCCTAATGATGCCACAAATTAGAAAAACCACACTGTAGAGGTGTATCTAAATGGTCACAAGATAGGGTGCAGGATTTGAATCATCAGCCCATAAAGTTTGTAACTGCTCCCTTACTGCTCTGGGGTTTAACAACACGTGTAATTTTGAGCAAATTATTATGTGTCTCTATACCTATTTTCTAATTTGTAAAAACAGAATTTGAGAGGATCTCTTCTAACATAAGTTTATAACTATAGTTTGTAAGAACTAGGCTTATAACTTCTATACACTATGTACTGTTTATAATGTCCAACTACAGTTTATAAGAACTAGGTTAAGTGACTATACCTTAAACACCCAAGAACCTGTTTCAGGACGGTACTCTTTGAACTGAGCTCCTTGTTTCCTTGAAACTGCTTCCAATCTTCCCTCATAGTTGATATCAGCAAGTCGATCTGGGCTCTTTATTAAACATCGAGATGTTTTATCTGTTGGCCAAACTCCATCCAATGTAACTTCAGCCTTCCTATAATAAACAACCGAGTAAAGTGTAAATGTTTCATATTTAGGACCAGAAAGCCAAGTAACATCTATATAAACAGCAAATAAAGCTAACTGTGTTACTTTGGAATTATTCTGCAGGTGTTTCATAAACTTGAGTCTTGCCTCCCAAGGTAGACTGGCTTAAGAGCAAGGAATTACCTCTACACCGACTAAGTATCTGATTCTAGAGTGTCAAACTCCTTTTATCTGATTTTAGTAACACTTAAGCTACATACAACCTTAACCAAGTCCAGTGCTTATGGACTTAAGATCTTAGTGAAGCTCTTAAAGTGCTATTGTAAATAACAACAATAGTAATAATAGTGGCAACTACTAACAATAAATGCCTGCAGAATGAGGTATGAGGAACATCACAGTATTAATCATTAAACAGTGAGTGTGAAGAGGACTATAATAATGGTAATGTGCTTCTTCTAAGAGCAATATTTGAAATCAAGGATATGTCCTATTCATTCTGTACACCTTGCATCTAGTACAATGACTAGCATATAATAGATGACTTTTTAAATATTATTTTATTGTAGCAAAGAAGTATGATAGAGGTTACCACTTAACCATTTCTAACTGTACCATTCAGTAGTATTAAACATATTCACATTGTTTTGCGAACAATCTCCAGAACTTCTTCATCTTGAAAAACTGAAACTCTACCCATTAAAAAACAACTCCCCATTTCTCTCTATGTCCAGCCACTGGCAACCACTATTCTACTTCCTGCTTCTATGAATCTGACTCTCTAGATGCCTCAAATAAATTGAATCATACAGTATTTGTCTTTCTGCAACCGGCTTATTTCACTTAGCATAATGTCCTAGAGGTTCATCCAAGTTGTAGCATGTGTCAAAGTTCCTTCCTTTTTAAGGCTAACATTCCATTGTGTGTATACCTCATGGCTACTATGAATAGTGCTGCTATGAATATGGGTATGTAAATATTTTTTCAAGCTCCTGCCTTCAATTCTTTTAGATATATAGTCAGAAGTAGAATTGCTGGATCACCTTTAATTTTTTGAGGAACCACCATGCATACTCTTTTCCATAGTAGCTGTGCCACATTTTACATTCCCACCAACACACAAAGGCTCCAATTTCTCCACACTTTCACAAAAACACGTTACTTTTCTTTTATAGTAAACTCCTAAAGGGTGTGATAGCTCACTGTGGTTTAAATTTGCATTTCCCTAATTATTAGCAATGTTGAGCATCTTTTTTATTTTTACTATTTGCTGCCTATGCATTTAGAGTTGGGCCTAGGAAATCCTTGTCCAATATGCTGTGAAACTTCTCCAATGCCTTATTCTAAGAGTTTTATGGTTTTAAGTCTTATGTTTAGGTCTTTGATTCATTTAATTTTTATATACAGCGTAAGGTAAGGGTCTAACTTCATTCTTCTTCACATGGATATTCAGTTTTTCCAAAAATATTTGTTGAAGAGATTGTTCTCTTCCCATCTCATGGTCTCGGCAAGCTTACAGAAAATCATTTAATCATATATGTGGCTATCTGTGGTACTGGTGAGATTCTGTATAAAATGAGGATGAATTTTTCTATTTCTGAAAGAAATGTAACTGGTCAGGGGGAAGTATAACTCAGTGGTAGAGCGTGTGCTTAGCATGTACGAGGTCCTGGGTTTAATCCCCAGTACCTCCACTAAAATAAATAAATAAAAACCTAACCCCCCCCCAAAAAAGACTGACTAAATAAATAATTAATTAAAAAATCTTTTTTTTAAAAAAAGGACATGCAACTGGGATTTTGATAGGGATCGTATTACATCAGTAGATTGCTTTGGGTAAAACGGACATTCTAACAATTTTAAGTCTTTTAATCCATGAGCATGGGCTATCTTCCCATTTATTTGTCTTCCAATTTCTCTCAGCAATGTTTTATAGATTTCAGTGTACAAGTCTTTTGACTCCTTGGTTAACTTTATTCCTAAGTATTTTATTCTTTTTGATGTTACTGTAAATCAAACTGCTTAACTTCCTTTTCAGATAATTCATTGCTAGTGTACAGAAACTCAACTGATTTTTTTGTGTTGATTTTACATCCTGCTACCTTGCTCAATTTGTTTATTAGCTATATGTTTTTTGTGGAATCTTCAGGCTTTCTATGCATAAGATTTTGTCATCAGTGAACAGAGATAATTTTACTTCTTTCTTTCCAATTTGAATGTCTTTTTTTTTTAATTTAATTGCTTTTGCTAGGACTTCCAGTATTATGTTGAATGGAGGAGGCAAAACTCAGCATCCTTGTCTTATTCCTGATTCCACAAGAAAAGCTTTCAGTCTTTCACTACTGAGTATGATATTCACTGTGGGTTTTTCAAATATGGCCTTTATTATGCTGAGGTAGTTTCCTTCTATCTCTGTTTTGTTCAGTGTTTTTATCATGAAAGAGTGTTGAACTTTGTTAAAAATGCTTTTCTGCATCAATTGAGATATCATGTGGTTTTCTTCCTTCATTCTATAAATGTGGTTCCTTATATTCATCAATTTTTGTAGTTAAGCCATCTGTACATTCCAGAAATAAATCTGATTTGGTCATGGTGTATAATCCTTTCAATGTACTGTTGAATTCTATTTGCTAGTATTTTGTTGAGGGTGTTTACATCAATATTCAAAGATATTTGTCTGTAGTTCTGCTTTGGAATGAGGGTAATGCTTGATTCACAGAATTAGTTAGGAAGTGTTCCCTCCTCAATTTTTTGGAAGAGTTTGAGGAGAAGTGACATGAATTCTTCTTTAAATGCTTGGTAGAATTCACCAGTGAAATAATCTGGTCCAGCATATGGAGTTGGGGAGCTGATTACTAACTCAATCTCCTTGTTAGTTATAGGGCTGTTCAGATTTTCACTCTCTTCATGACTCAATCTTGGTAAATTGTGAACATAAATCATTTTAACTACGGCCCTTTAACCTGTGGAAAAAGATATTAGAAGCTACTATCTCATACTAAAATATAGAGAAAGAGTGAAGCATGGCCACAGCAGAAATAAGAAAATGAATACTATTAAAAAGTATTTTTGGAAACTAATAATTGGACCTGATAATATTATAAAAAAGGAGTCAAAAAAGTCAGTGTAGCATTTATCACTTATATTTTTAAACAAAAGTAGACAGACAATAATCATACACTTTTCAGTAAGTCAAAAAAGGCAAGCTGCAAAAAATTTATAACACAAATTTGTGCTAACGGAGAAAAAATTGTGATTTAGCTGATTATTTTCTAAATATGTAAATAAATTCATACCTATTTAGTCCTTCACCCACAGGTGGTTTTTGGTTATCATCTAAATAGACAATCACTTCTTTCCTTCGGATATGCACAATATCATCTAAATTTAGATTTGTCAAATTCACTTCTCCTTCAAAATAGATTGAACCATAACCTATAAGGCAGAGTAAACAGTTAAAAACTTATCCTGTATAGAGGGCAAATATCTACTAGCAAGCAGTTTAAACATTAATCAATGTTTTAAATCATCTAGCAACACTTTGAATGGGTTATTTCATCTAAAATAAGTATTAGGTGATATCAAATACAGTGTTAACCTGATTTAACATATGCATTTTCACAGCACTTGTGTTATCCTCGAAACAGCCCTTAAAAATCTCTTCCCAAGTATCTGTACTGCTGCTAAATAAACAACCCTTAGCCCCAGCCTGCAGTATGAATTAAAATACCCAAATCCTTCTTTTAGTGTTAAAATACAGCAAGACGAGATTTTTTTACCCAAGAAAATTAAATCCGTAATAACTTAATATGAAGTTGAACCTAAATATCACCCATCTCTTGTCAACAATTCAATTTTCTCACTTAGTATTTCTTGCTATTTACAGTATTTTCTTTAATTGTTGAAAACTGCAGTAGGTCAAATACTTACCAAAGAATGTTACAAGGTTCTAGTCTTATTTTGTTACTTGTCAATCAGCAACTAGTCACGCCAAGGTGGGTCCAAATGTAGGCAAAACACAAATTCAACTATCAAGAGCTTCCTTTACTTAACTACAGAAATAAGGTGTAGCTCTCTGGCTTATCCACTAACTCATACTCACCTTTACGACCAATAGTGAAGTCAGAGACGATGCACTCTCCTTTATCATTGGTAATTTTAGCAAGGTCATCCATGGATGGAATAGTATAGTAACCAACCTTAGTGAGAACAATGCCTATGATAAAAGAAACAGAATATAGTATTAGTTGTGACTGTCCTTAATTAGAGAATATTCAGTAATATTCATTTCACTTTTTCCTTTTAAAAAATTTCCTACAAAAAGGATAATTTAAAAAACAACCTGAAATAATTGGAACTAAATTTTTATGTAAAGAGAAAATATACTGAAATAAAGCATTTTTCCAAACTGGTTTTCTAAGAAACACTACTCCTGGGAGAAACCTTTTTTTTAAAAAAAGCTTTCTGGTCAAATAAGTTTGGGGAACATGCACAAGATAGTATATTACAGGTTATGAACCCCCCCAAATCTATTTAACCTTACTTAATCCAGTGTTTCCAAGACTTAACTGATCACAGAATCCTTTACAAATGACACCCATAAACATACTGCACTATGAAAGGCATTCCATAGAATACATTTCTGCAAAAGACTTATTTTTTCTTTTATTTTACACATGGAAGATGCCCAAATCCAGGATTTTGTCTTATACAGTAATTCAGTGGTAGAGGTGGAACTAAAACTCCAAACCCAATACTTTGTTTTATATCTTGTCTTCATAAACCTCTTGTATCTTTCAAATTTACATCTCCAAATTGAGAGCTAAAATCAAGATGAAAAGTCCTACATGAGAAAGTTCCACAGACAAATGTAAACCTAAAGGTTTATATTACCATTCTTTTAAAAAGTATTAACTAGGTAGATTTCTGAAGAAATAAAAGAAAACATAGTACAGGTATGTTTGTTCAATCACTCCTTGTTCCATTTATAGGTAGACATCATGCTAACTTGCTCTCTGAGAGAGAAAGAGCTTAAGGCTAATATAAGATCAAATTCCAGCCTCCAGTAAGGCCCATTCATGGTTAACTTGCTTCTCTATGCACAAGGTTTTGAGGCTGTAAGAGTAACCCTAGGAATGGAATTCTAAATTGGGAGGTAGTGAACAAGGTCAATGAGAAAACTAGAAAGACTAATATGTAGTATCATAATGAATTCACGTAAATGTATAAACACAAATACACTTGGGATTCTTAATGTGAAAGTATAAAGTTTTTCCTTAGGGCACCAAGTGACTAGAAGATAGAAATGAAGGCAGTGAGATAATCAGATATAGAGTAATTTCACAGACACATCAAGAAAAACTGTAAAATAACCCCAATGTTCACTAACAGAATGGAGAAACCAAATGTGTCACATTCATATAATGAAATACTACTCAGCAATAAAAAGAATTAACTGTCAGTAAGTATACAACATGGATAAAATTTCATAAAAATTAGAGTCAAAAAGAGTATGTATAACATGATTTCATTTATATGAAATTCAAGAATAGGCAAAACTGGGGGGAGGGTACAGCTCAGTGGTAGAGTGTGTGTTTAGCATGCATGAAGTCCTGAGTTCATTTCCCAGTACTGCCATTAAAATAAGTAAGTGAACCTAACTACCTCCTCTCCCTCCAAAAACAAACACAAAATTAAAAAAAAAAAAAAAAAAGAATAAGCAAAACTAATCTATGTGACAGAAACCAGGCTGTGGTTGGCTTCTGGAGACAGGGACACAAAGGAACTTTCCAGGATGAAAGAAATATTCTATCTCTTGATTAACTACTGGATACTTGAGAATATATATGTCAAAATTCACTGAAATGCACATTTAAGATCTAGGCACCTCACTATAATAAATTGCACCTCAGCTTTTAAAAATGGGGGGAGGGGAAATGACATTCATCAAAACCCAAATGAGACGTTAAATCAACACAGAAAAAAGGCAAATTTTAAGCATCTGATCAACATATTACAATTTTGCAGTTTATACTAGTTGTTTCATGGCTTAGTTGGGAAAAACTAATCAGTTCATTGTTGGGAGCAAAAAAAGAAAAGCACAAAACTGAGGTGATAATAAATAACCATAGCAACCACTAACATATGAATCCATATACTAGTCAGGCATTATGGTTTACATGCTTAATCTACTTGAATCTCAAAAACCTCATATGATAAGTAATTACTGCTATCATTTTAATTAAAAAACCAATAAGCAATCTATGTAAGATTATAAGGCTAGGAAAAGTTATGAGAATAGTCTCTGTGGCTATAAAATATGATATATTTAAATTATACCAGGATACTTAATGAGTATTAACTACACCACAAGTACAAAATATGAATTATAAATCAACCAAAGCACTACTGAAAAGTGTTTAAATGTTAACTTCCATAAAATGCAATAAAAAAGATTTAAAAGTTCAGAAAGCTGAGTTCTACTATGTTGAAAACCTGTGACAAACAAGAGGTCACAAAAGACTGGTAAGAGATTACTCATGTGAGGATCTGAGTCTGACCTGCTGGATGCATATTGTAAGTATTTTCTATTTCTTCTCGGTCATCCTGCAGTGACTCCTCATGAAAAGAGGTCTCTTCACTGCTTCCTTCCAGCCCATTTCGCAAGGCAGCACGCATGTTTAATGCAACAATGGTGTCATCCACATTGTTGCTGCTGTTATGTTTATTTCCAGCACTCTCTGGGGTTTGAGGAATGGGTTTGGCAATAGGGTTAGTATAAAAACGTGACACAAGAGAATCATCATCTCCATCCTGCTGATGGTTCTCATCAACTGGTTTGCTCAGAAAACTGAATCTGAAAAGGGAGAAAATAAAAAATACCTTAGCCCCTTGTAATAGTAGTAGTAACAATGATAGCAGTCAACCATTACTAAGCCTTTACTAAGTATCTTGCACTGTTCTAGCTTATTCCATGTATTAAAAGTTCTTATAATAATCTTGTAAACAATAGGTTACTATCATTCTATTTTATAGAAAACTCACAGAAAAATAACTTGTCAAAGGTCACAGAAAAATAATCACTATAAAATCTGGCTATAGATTCCATGCAAAACTGAAATATTTTCATGAATGAATGAGTGAATGTGAGCATTCCAATTTTTAGTTGGGGGTGTGTGTGTGCACGCTCTGCTATGTGGGGGTCAAAGAATCAGTGGTGAATTTCAAAATAAAAAACTGAATTTTTAGATTTTTAATAGCAAGGTATTAGAATTCAGCAAGGTATTGGAAAATGCTTCATTAATGAAAAATCAAAATTTTTATCCAAAGAGAAGAAAACAGGAGTGCAAGGACATATATACAAGGATTTTTCACTGAAGCATAATTCTAAATATAGGAATACCAAAATAATCTAAATGACCTCCACTAGAGGACTGACTGAATTATCTTACATTCACAATAGTTACAGCATCATTAAAGATGGGACAGATTATTCATATCAATGTGGAAAGGTGCTGATAATAAAATAAGTGGAAATAAGCAGGTTACAGATTATATCATTCATGCATAATCTCTAAAAACCCTAAGAATATATACCAAATTATTAAAGATTAGTGTATACACCTGCACTTCTTCCTTTATGTATTTCTCTACTGGGTGTTTTTGGTTGTTGTTTAGTTGGTTACAACTATGTATCACATTAATAATGATCACAAACAAAATATCCCTTATTTTTAGGGGGGCAAGGGGTGTCATATGCATGCTAACTCTGTCCAAAATGACATACATAGATAACAAAACAGTTTTGCAGAAATAAATTAGAAAAACAATCATTTTAAGGGATAAAGTACTCAAGAAGCAAAAACGACATAATTTCCAGGTGCTCATGTGCTGTAATACTTCTATGCAATATTCACCAAACTTCATAAATTTTCACAGCATGAGTCAATTTTAAGCTCAGAATCTCTTCAAAACGAGAACAGGGCTCTCTACCAGAAATAACCCAAAGCAGAATTGTTTACCTCTCTCCATTTTCTGGAAAATCAGACGGTGAAGCTAGATCTTCTGAATCACGATTAACAGGAGAGAAGAGATTGCTATTATTAAGGTTTTTCAAAACCAGCTTCTTAATGCTCTTCCTATAATCAGAGACCAAAGGAAAAAAAGAACTCAGACACACATAATTAGGTCACAGACATTATCTTGAAACCTGGAGTCGAAAAGGGCACTCTTACTCAACTCACATCTCTCTAAAACTGACCTCACAAGTTCAATTCACAAACTTTTCCCATCAATACATAATCAGAACATAAAATCTCAAACATATTACACTGCAGTGTTTGGCAGAATAAGCGAAGCACATCAAAACCAAGTAAGGAAATCCCCTTGAAAACATTCTAACTTTTCTGAACTTCCTGAGCACTTTGCCCAGACACTAGTTTACTTATCACACTATGTTGTATATTTCAATTATTTCTCTACATGTCTTTTCTCTCTTTAAGTATTTTCTTTTTCTTTTTTGGCAGTCAAGATTTATGCCTGCTCCTCCATAGAACTTGGCATGCTGCCTTGAAGGAAAATAGGAGAATGGGCATTTGTTGATTAAATGAGGAAGATTTCTTTAAAAAAAAAGAGCAGTAAAAAACCCTGATATCTAATGATGCAAATGATCACAAATACCTGAAGTGTTTAGGTTTGTGTATACAGTAGGTTTACTTGAGGCAAGAACCTCTACAGTAAACAAGCTTTAGGCAGAAGAGCACGTAAGATATTTTTTTCAAAATTTTATTGTTTATTGAAGTGTAGTTGATTTACAATGTTAGTTTGAGGTGTATAGCAAAGCAATTCAGATATATATACATATATCTGAAAAAAACATATTTTTAGGATTATAAGATATCTTAATTAACCTCCACTTAGGCACTGAGAGCCAACTAGATAGTGAAAAATGACTGTACTAGCAACCTAGGGAGACAGTGGCACAGGGAGATGTCTGGTATTTGGGGTTACTTTTCTCCTGGGAACTTTTGTGATTCCAAGAGGAAGGCTAAGAGCCTGATGGTGCACTTGACAGTCTTGTGGAACCAGGGAGACACAGACTGAGCCACCAAGGTGATGGGGCACTAGTGAATGCCACTTGTATTGTGTTGGGACCTGGAAAGTCTTTACCACTGAAGATAAAAGAGGACTAAAAGTAAAAAGCAGGTGGCCCTAAGTTCAGCTTTGACTCATTTCAATAAGCACCCATCATAAAAAAAACCTCTGAACATTAATATCATCATCGTTGAACTCCAATTACTGCCACAGTTTTCTGCCAAGAAGATAAATGGCCAATAACCCCATGATAAGATATGCAACATTACTAATCAAAAAGGAAATGTAAATTACAAACATGAGGTACCACTTCACATCCACTAGTATGGCTATGATAAACATAGCAGACCAACCAGAATATAACAAGTGCTGATAAGAATATGGAGAAAATAGAAACACTGTGCAATGCTGGTAGAAATGTAAAATGGTACAGCTGCTATAGACAACAGTTTGGCAATTCTTTAAAAGGTTAAATACAGAATTAATGTAGGACCAAACAATTCCAGTCCTAGGAATATACCCAACAGAACTGAAGCCAGGGACTCAGATATTTGTATACTAACATTCGTAGCAGCACTATTTGCATAGCTAAAAGGTAAAAACAACCTAAATGTTCACCAACAGACAAATGGATAAACAAAATGAGATATCTACAACAGATTCTGGATAATTCTTAAAGGTACAACAAAGATCTGCTGATGGTTTAGATATGGAATGTATGAAAAAAGTCAATGATGATTCCAAAGTTTTGCCTGAGCAACTAGAGTGATAGAAATGCAATTACCTGCAATAAGGAAGGTTTTTAGGTGAAGGAGCTTTAAGGTGGAAGATCAGGAGCTCAGATGTTGGATATATTAATTTTGAAATGTCTATTAGACATGCAAGTAGAGATGTTGAGTAGGGCTACATATAAGAATTTAAAGTACAGGAGGGAGGTCCAGGCTGGAGATAAAAAATTATTAGCCTATAGATATTTTAAAAGTCCTGAATTAAATTAATCACTTTGAAGCATAAAGATAAAGATATTTGAAGAGTAAAGATAAAGTGATCAAGAACTGGGCCGAGGGACATTTCAATTTTAAGAGGCCACGAAAAAGAGCAACCACTAAGGTAGGAATAAAACAGGAAAATGTGGGGTTCCTGGAAGTCATTCAAAGGAAATCAAGGAAGAGGGACAGAATAACTGTATAAGTACTTCTGATACATTAAATAAAGACTGTTAAGAGCAACATCACAGAAGTGGAAGCTGAGAAGGGGACATGGTATTAAGAGCAAAATGTGTGCCTTTGCACTCCAATCTCTTCTATTTGTATATCATACTTGTAAATCCTAAGACCTGGAGAAACTGCCCTTAAAGTTGCTGATCTGACGATCGGATTGAAAAAGGTGCATCTAAGCCCTTTTATCTACTCTGTACCAAACAATTTGCTAAATGCTGGGGACATAAACATGAATAATACACAAGTCACTGCCTTCAAAATAATCCAACAATGTTTTAAGAAATGTATAAATTGGACTTTCTATCTTTTCTGAAGAAGCAGCCCAACATATTTTTAAGGGGGAAAAAAGGAATGATGACAAAGAATTGCAAGCGGTAAATTCCCACTTCTCTCTAATGCTTTAAAACAAAAACAAAGGAAAACAAAAAACCCTTTTCTTTCTGATTAGAAAAGTATTTGATGTTTAAAAATAAATAAAAAGCCTATGTGTGCATGTGTATATATGTTTAGCTATGTCTCCAGAAAAACAAATCTAGAAATGAAATGCCCTGAAATACTTACCAGATGTTAACTACTGTTAACAGTTTGGTATGTATTTTTCTCTAGTTTTTTCCCTGTGTATACATATCAACACTCTACAGCATGTTTGCTCTAATGCATACTTTAAGCATAATTTTCAATGTTTACCAACAACTCTTCTATATACTTTCCTGAAGTTATTTTCTGTGTAATTATTTAATTTATTATTTATTTAATATCTGTAGGTATGGGAATTAAAACAAATATCCCTATAGTTTTTTTTTCTTAAATTGGTTTGGCCAATTTGAGTTGTAAGAAAATAGTGTATTCTGTTTGAAGTAAAATTATGTAAGCACTAATTTCTCAAAAACAAAACCAAGTAACATGCACATGCAAAACTAGAAGTATATTAACCAAAACATTTTTATGTTAACTATGATTACCCCGGGAATGATCAAGTCATTTTTATTCTTCTTCATGATATTCCATTTTTTTTCAAATTAAAAAGACTGTATAACATTTGTAGCACATTTAAGTAAATAGTTTTATACTTAGTTTATATTAATATTTTACATTTAACAAAAACTCACTTGGGCATGAATGCTCCATTGGCTAAGGATGGTTCGTCGTCATCCAGTCCATCAAAGAGATGTGACTTGGCTGTGCCTGTTGTTTGTAAAGCCTTTGGTCGGACTCTGGTGGCAGGGCGGGGTGTCAGTTTATAATGAGTAGGTGTTGTGAGAGCCTTTTGGGCTGCTGGATTTGTTGGTTTCAACCTCTGAAAAAAAAAAAAAGACACTATGAATTCATCTACAAAACAGAAACAGACTTGCAGACTCAGTAAACAACCTTATGGTTGCTGGGGAAGGGATAAATTTGGGAGTTTGAGATTTGTAAACGTTAGCCACTATATATAAAAACAGATTAAAAATAAGTTTCTTCTTTATAGCACAGGGAACTATGTTCAGTATCTTGTAATAACCTCTAATGGAAAAAAATATATAAACGAATATATGCATGTATATGCATGACTGGGATATTGTGCCGTACACCAGAGACTGACACACTATAACTGACAGTACTTCAGTTAAAAAAAATCATAATACTAGAGTTCAAACTTCATCTCTGCCATTCACCTACTACATACCTTTTGGAATCTTGGCTCCCAGAACACCCAACTTTGTACATATGTGTGAATGCTAGTGCGAATGCTAACTGAACTGCCTATTTCTCTATAATTGATTTTTATTCATCTCTCCAGACCCCACTTCAATGGATTTGTCTGATTTGTTTAAAAATGTAATTGAGATACTGCATTTGAAGTGCTTTGTAAATCAAAATGTACTAACAGAACATATTAATGTACTTTGTGCATTTCTCTCCATCTTACAAAAGAGAGCAGCCTGCAATTGTTTTGTTTTCTAAAACAAAGATAGTATTTTTATTCATTTTAAGAAAATATCAAAAATTTCTAAGCCTAATTATTTTTCAATTAAACCAAAAATCTTATGCTTCAAGAAAAACTGAGGCACAGCCATGAATGTACAGGTATGATCTTCCTAACTAGACAGAAAACTCTTAGATAAGAACTTATTTATTTTCATTTTGTATCCTCAGTGCTGAACACAATGACTAGCAAATATTTAGGGACCTAAAATTATGTTCCTTGAACAGGTCAACATATAATTGTCATCTAATTACAGCCTATGTTTACACAGCACTTTAAAAAGCACTTTATTTTTTTAACCATAAATTATTTATTAATTAAAAAAGAAAAACTCAAGTATAGTCAGTTTACAATATCCTGTTAATTTCTGGTGTAAAAAGCACTCTAACTTCGTATTTTGCTTCTCATTAAATCTGGTTACAGGTTCAATTTAAGGACCAGCTGAGATACTCAGCCATAAAAAAGAATGAAACCTTGCCATCTGTGACAACATTGATGGACCCTGAGGGTATTATGCTACATGAAATAAAATGGAAAAAATAGTACACAATTTCACTTACACGTGGAATCTGAAAAAAACAAATGAACAGGGGGAGGGTTTAGCTCAAGTGGTAGAGCGCATACTAAGCATGCATGAGGTCCTGGGTTCAATCCCCAGTATCTCCTCTAAAAATAAATAAATCTAATTACCTCCTCCCCCCAAAGTAAAATAATTAAAATAATACAATAATAAATAAAAAACAAATGAACAAACATAACTCAACAGAAATAGTCACAGATACAGAGAACAAAAAGGAGGTTGCCAGAAAACAGCAGAGTGGGGGGAGGAAAGAAATAAGGGAGACTAACAGGTACAAACTTCGAGTTGCCAAATAAATGAGTCATAGGTATGAAATGTATAGTGCAGGGAATATAGTAAATAACTATGTAATAATCTCATTGTGGTGACAGACAGTAACCAGACTTATAATGGTGACTGATTCTGAAATGCATAAAAATATCAAATCAGTATGTTGTGTAACAGAAACTAACGTAATGTTGTAGGTCAGTTACACTTCAAAAACAAACAAACCCATAGACAAAGAGATCAGATTTATGGTTACCACAGGCAGGGGGTTGGAGGATGGGGAATTAGATGAAGACATTCAAAAGGTACAAACTTCCAGTTATAAGATAAATTAAGTACTAGGGATGTAATGTACAACATAATACAATTAACACTCCTGTATGTTTTATATAGGAAAGCTGTTAAGAAGACTGTTATAGAGAGCAAATCCTAAGAGTTCTTATCACAAGGGAAAATATATTTTTCTCTATTTCCTCAATTTATATTTTTCTCTATTTCCTCAATTTTCTATCTATATGAGATTATGGATGTTCATTAAACTTACTGTAATAATCACTTCATGATGTATCTAAGTACACTATGCTGTACACCTTAAAGTTACACAGTACTGTTTGTCACTTATATCTTAATAAAACTGTAAAAGAAAAGAACAGGCTGAGGACTAAATGAGATGATATAAATGACTGAATAATAATTTCTATATACTGAGCAACTTTAATTCTGAACACTGAACAGTAATGCTATTCCCAGTTTACAGATGAAACACACTGAAGAGAGGCAAAAAGAGATGCCCAACATCTCACAGAATGTAAGTGGTAAAACAAGGATTAAACAGACCAAAGACTACTTTTAATGCCACACCAAACACAGTGAGCAGAAGATCATTTCTAAAGCCTAAGAGATTAAGACAAAGTCATACAGAAATTAGGAGAAAATATTTTTAACTTGCCACTTGAGCCTTAGTTTGTTCAACTATAAAATGTGGATAGTATCTGATGACAAGTCGCAGCCTTCCTCTCCTGTCTAATACTCATTTCACTGTTTGTCATGCTGCCTTCTAGACACAAAAATAATTTATCCTCTGGCTTGGTAAGAGCATAATGTGTCATAAAAACTTAATTACATCCAACTTTGCTTGGCTATATAACTAAGAAGCTGCATTCTGCTACTGAGTTTCTCCTACTCTGAGAACAGATTTTATAGAAACATCCTTATATTTACCTCTTCTTTCTTCTTAGGGTCTGACATGGGATTCCGGAAGAGAGGAGAGTCTCCAAAAGGTGAATATGTCAGACTGTTGATGTGCTGTTGGAGAACAGCCTGCTGGGCAGCAGAGGCATTTGGATCTGTCAAAGCTTTTTTAAAAAGAAAAGAAAAAGCAAGATGTTAGTTCAAGGACCCAGTGCTTTGAATCAAGAGAACTCAAGACTCTTTTTGGTGATATACTCTTCAAAATGTTCAGACTAACTCAAAGGCATTACTGGCGGGGGCAGACAAGCAAAGAGTGAAGAAAACCAACAATCAAATAAACAAAGGCCAAAGATACAAGGAGGCATTCCATAAGAGACAACACAAGTAAAATTGTACTTAGGTGTTTTATTGCTAATAATGATAGAAAGTAAATCAAAACAACCTTGAAGAAATATTTTATATCTCCCTCATTATCAATGTCACAGTTGTATAAAAAGGGATGCAGTCTGACTTCTAGGCAAATTGGTTTAATCTGTCTAAAAGTAACATTATGACAGCACACAGAGCAAGTATTGTTTTTATATTTTTTAACCTAATAATTTCAATAATGAAAATTTAACCCAAGGACGTAATTAAACTAGAAAGAAAACAAAGAAATGTTTGTAATTTTTCCTGAACATTATCTGTAATAGTGAAGAGTTGGAAACAACCTATGTCAACATTAAGTTAACAGTTGCAAAAATCATGATTCATCTACATGGTGGATTAAGTAGTTACTAAAAACAACACTGTTTTTACTGTGGAAATAAGTATCTTTGATTTAATTTACTAAGAAAAAATTCCAGAATAAAAAATAATAAATATACTGAGAATACAAAGGAAGAAGGGCAGCAGACAAAAAATGAAAATGGCTGTTAAGGGATCCTTGTATTTATTATTTGCATTTGGTATATTCATATTACATTTAAATAAAAATTAAAAGGAAAACAGATCACCCCATTAGTCTAATTTTCTTTCAAAGTGTAAGAACAACCATGTCATCAGTCACAGACAGGAACAATGATACACAACTGCACACAGTAAAAAGAAAACAACAAAAAATCCCACAACTATCTGCATTATACCTTGATTGATAAAGAAACCTCTCTGCAAGATAAATTATTTCAAAAAATACTGATAAAAAATTAAATCACTCTTTAGTTATTTCAGAAACAAAAATACTTTTCCCTTTATAAATATTTAAAATAAGGCTAAAGCCAAAATATAGTAAGATAATCCACATTAAAGGAGTGTCACAAATAACACATTCTGAAAAATCTAATAGGGGGGAAAAGACACAACAATCACAGGACAAACGCCTAAAGTGAAAAAAAAAGGTAGGTTCACTTTAGTCAAACTAAACTTTCTTAAAATTTGCTGTATGTATTATATACTAAAACACTACGTTGATATTTAAGGAGTGCAAATTTGCTCAGGACTGTGAAACTCAGAACAGATGTTGATTTAAAGATCATACAGTACATCATCTGTATTCAGAAAGTTCCTAAACCCAATTTAAAACTACTGGAGAGAAAAAAATATAGAAAAGTAGCTTTTGGTACATAGTGCTACAGAATAACATAATGTTCTGTGGACTACTCAATGAGACTAAAGAAAACGTGGATATTTTTAAAGAACTCTAATATTCACTATTCAGTTTGTTACTTGACAACCAATTAATATATATTAAAAAGAAAATACTGACCAGCACCAGCTGATCCCATCATTTCACAAATACAGGTCACTCGCCCTAGGCTTGCTCAAGTAAAAACTTCCTTCAACAAATCCAAACATAAAAAGTATATGAGGATGTTTTTATTTTTGTATGTTTAAATATGAAATTTTCTCGGTGTTAACTATGATTTCAAAATACAGAAAAGAGAGCTGGTAAGTTAGCAAAACTAAAAGAACAAGCAAGCATAAGCACTAGTATAAGCTACCATTGGTGTTTTATTCAGTTCTGGTCATAATAATTTGAAAGCATACTGAAAAGCCACATCATAACCAAATGATTAAAGAGATAAGAAAAAAGTATAAAAATCAAGTATTCTGAGAACAAAAGAAACTGATGATCTCAAAGAAAGGCAATAGGATTATCATCAAAAAAAAAACTGTAGGAGAATGATTTTGCCTGGCTTTGGGAGGTTAAAAGTAGAACCACTGGGTGGAAATTCTATAAAGGCAGGGTTTGGTTTCTAAACAATCTAAATAAAAAAATGGATGGGACTGACCCGTAAGGAAGCCACCATAATTGAGGCTTTTAAGACAAGCAAGGGACTCCCACAAGTTCTAAAGTACTTTCTAAGTCTTGTGATGCAAAGACGTACATTTTAAAAGTCAATACAATGACATTTAAATGGGCAGTAACACTATTGTATGAAACTGTAATATCAAAGTCGTGTGTCAGGAACTTCTAATTGGCTTTGGGAAAAGATGGATTGTTAAAAACCATTCAAAAGGCTATCTAAGTGAAAATGGTAGGTTATGATATTTATGCTACCTCCTACTGAAATTAAAATTAAGGAAAAGAATAATAATAGAAAAAACTAAGGAAAAGAAATAAAATGAAAACATAATTTTTAATGATACAAGTGATTCTAATTTTCACACAGAAGTTAATCAGAATTCTAATTCACCTCTGCTACCTCCAAAGACCTAATTAAAATCTATAGTTAAAACAAATTAAGGTGGGTAGGGTAATGGCTCAGCAGTAGACTGCATGCTTATAGCATGCATGAGGTCCTGGGTTCAATTCCCAGTACCTCCGTTAAAAAACGTTTTTTTAAATTAACATATCTAAATAACCCACAATGAAAGAAAATAGGAAGGTAATAAACGAACAGATGAGAAAATGTAACAAATCTGTAGGGGAAAGAAGTGGACAGAGTGACAAAGCATGAGAGAGTAAACTATACTTTAAAGAGTACACTCAAAAGGGATTATAGCCAAAGGAGGGGAATATCCGCTTGAATCCCAGAAAGGCTAGGGATTCAAGAACACTAAATTTGATGAAGTGAGACTGAAAGTAGAAGGGGAGAAGAACTAATGCAAAGTATATATACAAAACAACTACCACACCCTGTCATCCTAATCCCTGATGCTCAACAGGTAAGTCAAAATAGCAGAGAGACTGCCTCTGATGAAATCAAGTTAATTTATGAAATGAATGAGGGCAACCAGTTTGAGTACTTGAATCATCCCAGAGTTTAAAATGTGGCATTCCAACATTTAGAGGATCCATGGCTAACAGCTGATTTTTGGATTATTTATCATGCAAAACCTACTGATGAAAAAGCTCTACCCAGATACACACGTTGCTGGTGAGATTTTTATTATTTTATTCTTAAATATGAATGGAAAGTATCACTGAGTATTAAAGAGTAGGATCAAAACAAAAATAAACCTGAAGATTTAAAGAACAGAAGAATCCTAAAACAAAATTTTAATGCCAAATAACAAATTCAGAATTTCAAGAGTAAATTGCATCTAAGAACTGGATACTTGAAAAGAGGAACTTCCAGAGAATAAGAAAGAATTCTTAAGTCAAAAACAAAAATCCAAAAGATGATTAAGAAGATAATCAAAATTCTCCCAGGGGAAAAAAAAAAACCCTAGAAGGTAGAAAAATTGGTGAAAAAGCATACATTGAGACAGAAAATGTCTAAGCAAATCATTGAAATTTCAGAACAACGGAACAACCTACATGCTTGTGGGAGTAGAAGGAACAAGTTTCAAGAATCAGAAAGGCATCAGACTTCTTATCAGTAATGGTTAATGCAAGAAGAAATAGTCAAAGTTCTGAGGGTGAATTATTTTCACACCAGGATTCCGTAAGATTAAAGTATGTGGAACAAATGAAGATGTTTTTCAGAACTGTAAGTAATCAAAGTTTACCCTTCATATACATTTAACTTGAAGATATACTCCAGAAAACTTAGGAAACAGATAAAGAAGAAAACTCTAACTAGGACACAGCAGATCCCACTGAACAGACTTGAAGGGAATATCCCAGAGCAAGGCTGAAGACTTAGGGAGTAATCAGAGTTTATACTGCTGCAGGAGGACGGAGAGATCCAAGAATGAGGTATCCAGGGTAAAAAAACTCTGATAACCACCCTTAAGAATTTGGCCTAGTTTAGGAAGGTGATAAGGACTGGTAATGCAAGAGAAAAAAAGAATTAGAAGTTCTAGGAGAAAGAAAAAGCTATGTGAGAAAGGTATACTTGGCTAGGTAGCAATGTTTTCATGGTTATAAAATAAAATGCTGTGTTCACCTGCAATTTTAAAATTTTCTTTAGTAATAATTAACAGAGAGTACCTTATCAACCTTATCAGGTTGATAAAGAAGGCAAAGAAATAAGAGAGAGAGAAGGGTAAGGAAGGGCACTACTAGCCTTACTTGACCAAGGGAACTAAAGAAATACCATCTCCCAGTTGAAAGAGTAAGAAAAGAATGTAAAAACATGACTTAAATTTACAAAGGTTCTCAAAATGTGGAACATGGATCATGATAGTATAGGAAATGAATTTAATGGTATAGAGATTAACTTCTTCGTTTCTTCCTTCTTTTCCTTTCTTGCATCCATCCATCAATCCATCTCAGTTACCCTATTTTTGCCAAGTGATAACAGTTTTCTATTTTTGGTAAAACAATTTTCTTACAAAAAATATATATTTAAGTTATAAAGTAACTTAATTTTAAGTTAGAAATAATAAAGGTGGTAGGCAGATACCACAAAAACTGGGAAGGGGTATTCAAATGAAAGTATGAAAAACACTTTAATAGATAAAACTAAACTCAGGGAATTTAGTAAACACAGCAATACTGGGAGAAGTGAATAAAGAACAGAGGTGATAACTGAGCTAAATTCTCACCTGCCATTAACAAGTCAAATATACGTAGACTTAAGCAAAACACAGCAATATAAGCACATCATTTAGAGATATGAAGTTACATATACACCAAATGAATTAAAAGTTGTTAACAAAAGGGGTTTCTTGGGGGAGCAGGCCTGGGAGTGGGGAAGTGGGGAAGGCCAGGATCTATTATAAGTCCTTTCGCACTACACGATTGTTTAATGACCTGTGTATGTGTACCGCTTTGATAGAGATGGGATAGGGTAGGGTGGAAAATCAAGTCAGCAAGTTAAGTATTAGCAAGAAATAAAATGAGTAAAGCCTTCTAAAGTGACTGACACTTACCTACTGAGGCCTGGGGGGCTCCAAAGCCCAAAGTGGCTGTCGTAGTATTAAATCCAGGGGCCCCAAAGGCTCCTGTACCAAGAGGCCCTCCAATCTTAGGTTGGTTGTTCCCAAACAAAGATGCCTGTCCAGCACCAAGAGCTATGGAGACAAGAGGAAAGAAAAGCGCCACAGAAGATCCTTTGAATGTGATGCCAAAGGTCAGTTATTTAAAAATATAAAACATTTGGAAACTTCATAATAACCACTCACTTTAACCAAAAGCTAACACAGTAAATGCTAACTATACGCCAGGGACTGTGCTGAACACATTATATCACAGACAACCTCTCTGTGCTTCAGTTTCCTCAACTATAACGTGAGATAATAATACATAGCTGAGATATTTATCCTAAGATTAAAACGAACAAACACATATTAAGCATTTAGAAGATGTCTGGCAGATACTAACATTCATTACATATTAGCTAGTATCATCTCATTTAATCTTCACAAGCCTGAAGCTGGAACTATTATCCCCATTTTACAGAAGAGAAAATGGAGAGTTTAGTAATTAGCTCAATGTCACAAATGTAGTAAGTGGTGAAAGCAGAGTTCAAACCTTGATGTACCTGATAATACAGCCAGAGCTCTTAACAGCTACTCTATAGTAAAACAGATTTCAAAAGAATTTTAAAGTGGTAGTTTTCCTTAAATTTCAATATCTGCAAATCAAAATACTCAGTTGGACCAATTACGTTGTATTTTAGACTAACATGCAGGCTACAGAAAAAACTAAGTCCAATAAATCTTCTTTGAAGAGCAAGAAGTAACATTTTCAAGTATACCACCTCATGAAAACTATTTCAGACAGTTTTTTTAAAAATAAAAAGCTAAATGCCTTGTGATGAGGCTACTAAACAGATTCAAGTTTCAGCATGAATCAGTGGATGGAATAAAAATATATTTTCACTAGGAGGTAACCTGTTGCAGAAACCTGTATTTTAAAGCCTAATGAATTTTTAATGGACCTTGTTGTCAGTAGTGATTTTTAAAGTGTAAAACAGGAAGAATTTAGTTTTTTAGAATAAGTTAAAGTTATTGGCATAAATTAAAAACATTTTTCCACCCTCTCTCTCCTTAAAAAGTTATTGGCAATCTGGAAGATCCGAACATATCAATGTTTCTTGACAGAGATATGGTTTATCAGGAAAATCACTCCAAACATTTATTTGGAGCACAAAAAAATCAAATGGAAACTGCTTTGAGATCTCAACCAAAAAAAAAAAGACAGGAAGTTTATAATAAGAAAATGCATACTAAAATTAGTGAGGGTGACTACTAAATGGACAAAACATATCCTGTCTAACCTCATTAATAAGATAACAATTTACCAATAGGATTATTTCACCTTGAAAAGCCCAGCTTTGAAAGAGGGATTAAGACTTCTTTTAAAGTTCCAAACCATCAGAAATTGGTGAAAATTTCAAGAAAAACTATAATTATATTACACCTCAAGGACATAATTTACAGCAAAAATTTCAGGATTCTTCCGTCCACCCCCAGGGAACAAATACTTCCTTACTCCCCAAACAAAAGCTTAGATGTAACCCGAATACACAAAATGGACAAAAATTTCTGTTCTGGATGGGTGTGTATTTTCATTAACCCTGAAGGAAGAATCATGAAACAGTCTAATAATCACTGTATTTTAATAACCCATAAAAGAAAAAAAATGTGTTTTATCCAGATCTGTCTTATATTATGCACAAATGACTTTTTATGTTTAATCAAAGGACTTACTAATAATACACAAGTTGAGGGACATTCTGATATATGATAATGTCAATTCATGCAATGTACTGTAATTAGGACTACTTGTAGGAGTCTTAAGGAAGAAATATGGGTACACCATGGTAATCGTGGTCCTGAAAACTCCAGGGATGCTCAAGGAATAAGTAAAAATGGTTATGTTCCTTTGAGATCTTCTAATAAATGTTAATTTAATTTTATCTATAATCTGTATTAGCTTTGGATAGATTTTTCTGTGTATATGTTAGCACAACAAACTTTTACTAGATACACCCTTAAATTTATTATTGCTTCATAGAAAATTTTAAGAACTAAAATTTCATAATATTACTAAAAGACTACCAAGAAAATGACATACTACTGATAGTGCTAATGATAGTTAGTATCACTGTGAAACAATAAACTGATGCACCCATGATTTAATGAGTATTCCTTAGTCTGAGCATATCAAGAGAGAAAAAAAAAACTCACATGCCAAAAGATAATTTAAAACATTTTATACTAAGATTGGTCACTTAAATCTAGTATACAAAAATTTATGTATTTGTACATTTAAGATGTCTATAGTCTATTACTCATGAAGTACCCAAAGCTTTGCCTATGTTACATGAAAATGTACTTCTATTGAGGTATGAGTTGAATCTCTACCACTTAAAACAAGAAATTGTACAGGAATATCCACTTAGTTAATGCCCACCCCAAACAGTCCGAAGCTACAATGTTATTCTACTTACAATATCATGAAATGCAGAATTCATTAATGTGGGTATTTATATACGACAATCTCAGACACATTCGTCTCAAAGTCACAAGTCCGCTTTAGCAGATGTGATCATCAAAGAACTTCAATAGTGTGCTCAGTGATTCACTACCCCATGATCTATTGATAAAGCTGGGAGTGTAAAATTCTTAATTAATTGTATGACTTTTAGTTTATATGGACAAAGCATGAATTAGGAATATATTAACAGCAAAGAAAATGAGATTCATTGTCTGTGAGGTATAACTGTTGAAGGAAAACCGAATATATTCAAACAAAAAGGCTAAGATATTACATTACTGTGGAACAGAAGACACAGCATTAGGGAAAAAGTTATAGAACACTTTATAACCTTGGACTATAGGAGAAAGCATTGCTAATCATAACCCACAAGACTCAAGCTAAAGAGGAGAGAATGACAACTATGATCACACAAAAATAAAACTTGTACATGAAGATACCATAAACAAAATTAAATGACAAAGACTAATGAAATACCTGTAACAGATATCAGAGTAGCATCCTACCTGGACTTAGGTTTATAGTTCGTAAGTTATCTACAGTTAAAACCACCTTGAAAAAGCCTATGCCAAAGCTATTTTGTTTTCCTTTGGGATTAGAAGAGAACACTGATATCAGATGTTATATTCTGCTTACGTTTAGGAATCACACTGTACAAAAAACTAGAGCTTTTCTGTTTTTATTTCTTGCAAAATCTATGTGGTAGAATTTGAATAAGCTCAAAAGCTCAAAAGGAAGTTAACCATACAACCAAAAGGAGTTAATATCCACTATATATAAAGCATTCTGAAAAATAAAAAAAAAAATCACATATTATAAATAGAGAATTGAAAGATTCAAATGGCCAGTAGACATACACAAGGTTATCCTTCACCAGCAATCAGCGAAGTGCACAATAGAACATACCAACTTCCACTATCACGCACACACAAAGATGACAAAGCCCAACAATATGGAAGAGTATGGGAAAATGAGCCCTTTTATAAAATATTGAGCAAAAATGTAAACTGGCATTCTTTTTGGAAGGCAAATTAAAGTTAGCAAGACTGACCAAAAGTCAAAATAGTGTAATCTTCTGACATAATTACCAATTCTAAGTATCGATCCTATAGAATCACTATCACACACAAAATTATGTAACATAGATGTTCAGTACTGCATTGCTAACATCAAATAACTCAAATGTCCATCAATAAGGGAAAAGCTAAATAAATTATGATGTATGTAGGTAAACATGCATGTTTACATACAATGGAATACTAAAACAATTATTTTTTAAAAAATGAGTTAAATCCACATACATTGCCCCAAAGAAAAAATGTATGTCAAAAATGTCAGGGAAATGAAAATGAAACAAGGCAGCTGTTTTCAGTTTAAACATTTTTGACTGCAGTGCATAATATGAAATACACTAAGACCTGTAACACACATACATATAACTAAAACAAAAGTTAAAATAAATCAATACTTAATCTTGCAATGTACAATGTTTTTTAAAAATTCTAGTTCATTTTTTAAAATGCTGTTGCAACCAACTGCATTAATATTACATCCAACTGATACATCTCAGTCTTTTGTTTAAAAAGTAGGCTATGGCTTCCTTTTAAGAATATCATAAAAATTCTATATAGAGAACACATATTTGTACAAACATGTGCATGCATGTGTATGTATGTGTGTGTGTGTATATACATATATATATATATTTATCCATATTTTAAAAATGTATATAAAGGAGTTTAACAAGATATATACCAAACTTTCAACAGCCGTTACTTCACTGCTAAAAAATGTAGACTTTTTATGATATTTCCATATTGCCGAATTTCAAAAAAAGTAATTATATCTTTTATTTTTAAAAGAAAACAAAAGGAAATCACTCATAGAGTACAAAATGAGGTTCTATTAAAAAAGGAGAGGGATACTGCCCAGATAGCTTTAGTTTGTAACTAATTGACCAAATCCATGGTCAGATGAATTGATGAACTGGGCGAAACTATATTCTTAAACTACCTTGTTGAAATGTACAAGCACTTATTCATTTTATGACCCCCACCCCGAACTGTTTAAAACAGCTGGGCAGGTAGAAGGGACCATGTCTTCAAAGGCACTGAAAAATAATTATCAACAGCAGGGTTAGAGACAAAGTCCTGACATTTTAGCACTATAAAAAGGTGAAAAGAACTGAGAAGCGCGCACAGTCTTTGCAAAACCTCAGCATATTTGTTAATTATCTCACCATGTTCTCTTACTCCTGCACTACTATTGTGGTAATAAAGCTTAATTAACAGTTCAAGGTCTCAAATCCCTGTTACAAAGAAAACACAGGGGAACTTAAAGTTAATAATGTTATCATACTGACAAGTCTCACATTAAATGCTGAAAATCTCAGGTAGACCAGGACTATCAGAGGACAAACATTTTGTAGAAAGGGAACATACAACCTCTCAGGTAAATGTGACAGTGTTTTAAAACCTAATAAAGTACATGGGAATGTTTTATAAATCCATTTGTGAAAAGGAAATGCCAGGCCTCTTATTTCCACACGTATGATTAAACAGAGGTCTTCAGTTCCAGCAATTAAAAAGGCAAGTTGTATCACTTCCTAAATCTTGTGGTACAGTTCCTTACCTGTTCCAAATCCTGCACCAAGCCCAGTTCCTAGAGTCCCAGGTCCTGGCTTACTTCCAAAAATACTATTCCCACTGGTATTTGTGCCGAACCCTGGAAGGACAAAAGAATGAGTGGACTGTACTTCAACACAACTCTCAATTTCCTGTACAAGGGAATTTAAAACAAAGCAGTCTGACCCTAAGCTTCACATCCTTTCAGTTATTGATACTTAGAAATCCTAAATGGTAGGCTAATTTAACGCTTTTTTGTTTGTTTAATTTTGTTAACTGTAAACAGATGCCACAACCTTCCTATTAATTATATTTCAGACTTGAAGTATCAATTCAATTTAGGATAACACCCAATATTAAAGCAAAATGATTGTGCTTGAGCTTGGAGAATTTTTCCTTTGTAAGGCTCAAACTATCTATCCTATGTTTCATGTTGAATTATTAGAAGGAAAACTAATTCCCTCAAACTTATAACAGTCAACAAAGACACTTTACTGAACCTAAAGGTTCTTGCTAAGAGAAAATTACCTATAAAAATCTCTACAGCAGCTTTTGAACAGATGGACCCTGTATGAATTGCAACGTATGACTGATCACACATGACGAGCTTTAATGGTGTCAGACTCAGTCAGCTCATAGTGGTACTCAAAGATTCAGCCAGCTGGTATTAAAAAGAAGATAATCTATGAATAACTTTCCTTGAGTTGAAATCTTTCATTATCAGAGACGATGGAGAGTTGAACAAACTATCCTCCTTCACTATGACTCATCACTTAGAGAAAATCCTGTGATTCCCCTCTAAAATCCACCAGTCTCCCCACAGACACCTACACATCACATCACTGCTATCATTTCTCTTTCCTTCAGACATATCCACAAGAAAGTTTCTTCAAAACAGCTAATGAAAACATCATCAACCTCTTTTGATAAGGGAGGGGGAAATCATCATTGGCCAGCAAATTCTGTTTGTGAAACACCTAAAGTCTTTTTAAAAGATATCATGGAGGGGAACAAATTCAAAACATAACAGAGAAAACAAAGTGTCTTGGAATATATGTCAGTATCACAAACTAAGAATATTATATTTTGTCATGCCAATATTTGGATTATTTCTGAATGAAAAATAAAAAGTATCAAGAAAAAAAGGTAAATAATTAAACAGTGTGAAAACATACTTCTAATTTAAAATCCAAGCAAGTAATCTGACGTAATCTCAATACATTTAATCCATGCATTCATTACATCTTTTCTTTGTGCTAATTAATAAGCTATGCTACAAAAGTGGAGCACTGCCTACTCAAGCACAATTTTCTTTAAAGAAAAAACTAGAAAAAGTACTTAGAGATGTTCCTTTTCTTTCTGAGTTAGAATTTAACCAAAAAGGATCTTCCCATAACAGTAGAAAATGAGATACTTGTGAACTACCTCAAACCCACAGGAGGGAATTAAGTCCCAACTTACACTGTTTATACCACACATTTCCTCAGATTCTTACTGACAATGGTTTATCAAGTCTGTTATTTCAAAACAATTTTAAATTAAAATTAAGAACAATTAATTAATGGTCAATTAATTTATGACAAAGGAGCCAAGAATATAAAGTGGAGAAAGGACAGTCTCTTTAATAAACGGTACTGGGAAAACTGGACAACCATATGCAAAAGAATAAAACTAGACCATTATCTTACACCATGAACAAAATGGATTAAAGACTTGAAAATAAGATCTCAAACCATAAAACTCCCAGAAGGAAGCATAGTGGGTAAGCACTATCTTGATGATGTTTTTGGACTTCACACCAAAAGCAAAGTCAACAAAAGAAAAATAAACAAGTTGGACTATATCAAACTAAAACAGCTTCCACACAGAGCAAAGGAAACCATCGACAAAATGAAAAGGCAATCTACTGAATGGGAAAAAGACATACAAAACAAATTTCTTCTGCATAGCACAGCGAACTATGTTCAGTATCTTGTAACAAACTTTAATGAAAAAGAATATGAAAATGAGTATGTGTGTGTATATATATATGCATGACTGGGACATTATGCTGTACATCAGAAATTGACACATTGTAACTGACTATACTTCAATTTAAATAAAAGGAAAAAATAAAAGACATACAGATGGCCAACGGGTACATGAAAAGATGCTCAGCATCACTAATCATTAGGGAAATGCAAATCAAAACCACTATGAGATATCACCTCACACCTGGCAGAATGGCTACTATCATCAAAAAGACAACAAATAGCAAGTGTTGGTGAGAACGTGGAGAAACAGGAATCCTCATGCACAGCTGGTGGGAATGTATGAAGCAGCCACAATGGAAAACTATATAGTATGGAAGGTCCTTAAAAAGTTGAAAATATAACTATCATAGGATCCAGCAATTTCACTCCTGCATGTGTATCTAAAGAAAACAAAAACACTAATTTGGAAAGATAGATGCACCCTAATATTCACATCAGCATTATTCACAATAGGCAAGACATAGAAGAAATCTAAGTGCACATCTATAGATGAATGGGTAAAGAAAACATAGTGTATACATACCATGAAATATTATTCAGCCACAAAATGCAATGAAATCTTTGCACTTGTGCAACATGTATAGACTTTATGGGCATTATGCTAACTGAGTGAAGCCAGACAAAGACAAATAAATAAATATGATCTTACTTCTCTATGGATCTAAAAAACAGCAACAACAACAAAAAATGAGCTTATAGATATAGAGAACAGATTGGTGGCAGAGGGTGGGTTGATAGATGAAATGTGAGAAAGGGTGACGGTCAAAAGGTACAAATTCCTAGTTATAAAACAAGTAAGTCCAGGGGATTTAATGTACAGCATGGTGACTGTAGTTAGAAATACTGTACTGCGTATTTGAAAACTGCTAAGAGTAGATCTTAAAATTTCCATCACAAGAAAAAAAATGTTTAACTACATATGATGACAAATGATACCTAGATTTATTGTGGTAATTATTTCACAACATATACAGATATTGGACCTTTATGTTACATACCTGAAATTAACATGTTATATGTCAATTATGTCTCGGTTTTTAAAAATTAGCTTAAAAAATCAGATGTTTATGTATACAAATAGCTCAATTGTTCCCTTAACCACGTAGCATGAAGAATCAACAACGTATTACCCAGTACTATCTTTACTATTTTCTCAATACCCAAAAGACCTTCAACCTCTTTTTTGTCTTTGATTTGTGGGGGGGGCAGTAATCAGGCTTGTTTATTTATTTATTAATGGAGGTGCTGGGAATTGAACCCAGGACCTCATGCATGCTAAGTGAACACTCTACCACTGAGTTACACCCTCCCTACCACCTTCAACCTCTTTAAACTGTTGCTCACAAGTGTTGACATCCTGCCTGTAATTTCTCTCCTGAAACAGTCTCTTCCGTTCATTCAGAAATTCAGACACTGTCATATACTCACTTAATCTTAAACTCATCCCTGTTAGGAATAATTACTAAGAAAATGAACTGATGACTCTAAAGAATGACCTAAGGATGTGGGAACATCAACTATAGCAGGTAACCCGACCTTTAACTCTGTGGATTTATCACCACCATAATGAAACACAATTCCATACTGGGTAACATGCAACTAACAATGACACAGTGATGCTACAAATCTTTGTGCAAACTTATTCCATTTCCAGATCTGTTATATGACTTTTTCCCAAATCAGAAGATTATCTCTGCCCGTAACATCAAAGTTGACAGTTTCCCAAGACAACAGGAACATGGGTTGTGGGGTGGGATATAGCTCAAGTGGTAGAGCACATGCTTAGCAGGCATCAGGTTCTGGATTCAATCTGCAGCACCTCCTCCAAAAATAAATAAATGGATAAATCTAATTACCTCCTCCCTCAAAATAAAAATTAAAATAAAAAAAAAGACAATAGGAACATCAAAGAGAGACTTACTTAGATCTGGATCCCTCTAGGGTAGTAATGGAATGATAAATTCACCCAAGGATAAAACAAAACTTGCTACCTGCAACCTCCATTTGACTTACAGGAAGTGCTTCCTCTTAGGGCCCCACTTATTCATTCTTTAATTCATTAACAGACTTTTAGTGAGCACCTACTCTATAGCACTGGGGATAAAAATTAAACAAAGGACAATTCAAATTCAGTACGCAGGTTAGTGAGGCATATGAAATAAATCCATGAGTTTTCACTTTCAAATCACTGAACGTAAGTACAACATTTATACAACAAACAAAATCTCCAAACAAATCAGAAATTTGCAACCATGGAGTAACAGCAAATACATTTCAGACCAGAAAATTTTATCAAGTATAGCCCCTACAAACACCTTGTCAGAGAGAAAATATATTTAATCCTGAACATAAAGTATGCTACAAAAAAAAAACAACAAAAAACCCCCATGCATTTTCAAATGGAGCAAAATTAGTTCTTAAGGGGCAGAAAAAAATCATAGACATAAGATGGTTTATGACCTTTCAAAGGGCCATAGTACACATACAGATACACAGTATACATGTGGTATTAAAACCTTGTGGGGTGAGAAGATGATTAAGGGGAAAAAAGGCCTACAAATGCTTCGTGGGGAAGAGGAAGTGATAGTGATTTTAAAAAAGGTTGAAAAACACTGATTTAACCCTTAAGTATCTTTCCCATCTTATTTCATAAATAAGAAACAAGTGCAAGGGGGCGGGAAGGGATAAATTAGGAGTCTCAGATTTGCAGATAATACTATATATAAAATAATTAAACAGTAAATTTTTACTGTATATCGCAGGGAACTATATTCAATACCTTGTAGTAACCCATAATGAAAAAAGAATATGAAAAGGAATATATGCATGTATATGTATGACTGAAACATTATGCTGTATACCAGAAAGTGACACAGCACAGCGTTGTAAACTGATTAAAAAAGGACGAAAAAAGAAACATGTGCACAAAATTGATATCCATGCTAATCAAGTCAACTTCCTCAAAACCATTCTTTCATAGAGTAGAGCTGAAAAAGAATTATAGATAGAATGATAATCATTACTAGGAGTGAATGAACAACATAACAAAAGGGATTATAAAAATCAAATTGAATACATTAGTTCAGGAATTGGTACCTGACAAGGACCTATTTACCTCCTTCACATAGTTCATATTCCCATGAAAACATATAACCACCCAAAGAATGCTTAATGTAGCCTCTTCCTCCAGTACAAGGTCACTCAAAAACTCACTGAAAAACTGTTAACTGCTGACCTATGGCAAATGACCATATGTTTGTACTCAACTCCCACTAGATATGCAGAGCCTAATAATGTGTCTGGCACATGAAATCCTTAACAAATATTTTAATTGCTATTTCCCTTGGTAATAAAATGAACTTTTCATATCTGATTTAACTCACATTATGTTGAATTTGTTTAAAAACTTACTTAGGTAGTTATAAAAGACATTTTAAAATAATATAATAATGTTTCTAGTAAATGAATTAAAAATGTTCCAGCATATCTCTGAAGAGCAGTTTGTTTTTCTGTTATTTAGTCTTATCTGTATTTTACAATTTTTTTTCCAATGAGCGTGTATTCAAAAATAAAACTTGCAACTATAGGAAAACTACTGAATAAACCCCCAAATCAGAGAGGCTTCAACTTTCAATGAAAATCATCAAATCTCAAAAAACAAAAACTTAAAAGAAGAATCATAAATCTTATCTGTGCACCACTTCCCTGTTTGAAACCTGGTCTAACAGAATGTGTTATCTCAACCAAATGTGTTTCACTTATGGTTTCTCAATTACTGGTAAGATAATCCAAAGAAAATGATGTTTTTTATCTTGAAAGAAATCTATCTTCATTAGAGAACCAACATTCTGTAAGGTACTACTACTGCTACATGTGCTGAATGCCTCATTTTATCCAAAGTAGGGAGTCAAGAGAATATAAATTAGTTAAGGCAATTTACATCTCCTCCAGGCATCTCAACCCACGATCTTGATTTTAAACCTTTCCTTCTGGTACCTCACATCAAGCCACAGCTTACCTGAGAATTTAAAAATATTCCCAGTCATATGAATCAGGAGAATGATGTGTGGTATAGTCAGTGTAACTTTAAGAGAGTCAAACCTGCTTTTTATATGTACCAAAATTGGAAGTGTTTGTATTGGTTCCTAAAGTCAGGGTTGGTTTGTTACCAAAGAGCCCGCCACTGGTTGTACCAAATGAAGGAGCACTGGTTGTGCTGGTTCCAAATGAAGTAAGCTTGTTATTGCCAAACAGGGTCTAAAAAGAACACAATACAGGAAAATTTTAAGTAGTATAAAGATACACCCTAAACAGTAAACAGAGGTTACCTCAGGTATACTGGACTGGGTGTTGGGTAAGGGAGAGAAGACACCGTAAGTTTTATGAAAAAGGTATGAATGAAGATGAGTAACAGCTATCAGAAAAATATACTAATCTGAGTAAGAGTAACCATACACAGAATGCTCCTAGCCTGAGAAGTTGACGGTAACGCCTCAGCAAACATAACATTTCAGTGAAGAAAATAATAAGGTAATCAAGTATTCTTTACCTGGTAACAGAAATGTTTATCATGCATTTAATTTGCCAGCATAAACAATTAAAATAAAATTTAAACATGCTACAACATGGATGAACCGTCAAAACATTATGCTAAGTGAAAGAAATCAATCACAAAAGATGTGATTCTATTCATACAAAATGTCCAGAATAGGTTAAATCCATAGACAGCAGGCCTGAGGTGACTCTGAGGGAAAATGAGAAGTGACTACTAATGGGGACGAGGTTTCTTTTTATGGTAACAAATATGTTCTAAAAGTGACTGTGGTGAAAGTTGCACAATCTGTGAACATGTTAAAAATCACTGAATTTTAAACTTTAAAAGGGTGAATTTTATGGCAAGTAGATTATATCCAATAAAGTTGTTAAAAAAAACAAGAACTTTCTAAAGCATTATATAATTTTCTCAATGTCTCATCTCAATTAGCTGCCCAAACAAAATTAAGAAATAACAGATTTAAATCTCCACAAAAACAACCACACAATTTGGGGACTTTTTCTTTAAACTACAGTTCAAAGCTTGCTACAGTGGGTACATAATACAAACTGGCTGTTTCGTAATGATTTTCATATACCACTTTCAGTGGTAGTACAGAAGTTACTATTATTTTTAGGTCAAGTACATTCCTAAATGGTATTTTTTTTTAACTTAAATGACTTTAAGAAAAAATTCAGTGAAGTGTCCAGGAGCATCAAAATCTTGAGAATACCAACAATTTTAACAACATGATCACCACCAAAACTATTTAATTCACAAATATCAAACCAACTCATCACCCAAAATAGAAGTTAGAAATAGGAATTAAAAATTATCTGATTTTAAGAGCAAAAGCATCTCAATTTAGACTTGACAATTTAAACTAACCAACTGGAGTGACATTTTGCTATCAGAAGCAAACTGCAAAGTACTGGGGCAAGGAAGTTTAAAAATACTTAAAAGACAGTCAGATTTTTCTTAGAAATTCCTCTAACAGATTTATACACATCTTCAAATTACAGTCAACTGTAACAACCTACCGAACCAACAGCACCAAATCCAGTATTGGTCTGCCCAAAGAGACCTGTTCCTGTTCCAAATGCTGTCCCCGTGCTGGTGTTTGTGGCTGTCCCAAAAAGACCTCCTGGCTGTGAGGCTTGGGTAACTCCAAATAAACCCTGCAAAAGGTAATCTAGATTACAAGATATCCTACAATAGTCAACTGTCATTAAAAATCTTAGATTAATAATAATAGATGCCATTTTTCCAAGTTCATGTGACACATTATGCTAAATATTTTACATAGGACATTTCTTCACAACAACCCTGAAAAGCAGCCATTTTCCAAAAGAAAATAAAGCTCGGAGCAGTTAAAAACTTGCTGAAGATGTCAGAGCTCCTGATTGGCAGGACCAAAAATTCATATCTATATCTAAGTCTGATGAGTTCCAAGGTCGTGGACAGCTATGAAGACTTTACACTAACTCTTGTGCTCTACAAGGTAATAGGGATGCTACACTGAAAACAAAAACGCATGACAGGGTGCTTCATTTTCAGAGAGTTATGCCTAAAGAACTTATTAATACTGAGCTGGGAAATGGATTTTGAATCAAATAACTGAAAATAGTCATATTAATTTGGACAGAGGCAGCAACATAATGTTAAAAAGTCTTCATTCGTTACGAGAAAGTACACACATTCCAAATAAGCAAAGTTTGTATCATCCATTGTTTAAGATTTTTTATGCATTAGTCAACAAAAGAAAAATATTGCACTAATGAACTACAGCTGAACTGAAAATTCAACATGGTGTTTTAAAACAGCTTTACTGAGACATAATTCACGTATCATAAAATTTCCCTATTTGAAGTGGACTATTCAGTGGGTTTTTTCTATGTTCAGCATTGTGCAACCATGCCCACTCTACAAATTTAGAACATTTTTATCGCTCTAAAAAGAATCTCTAAGCTCATCAGCAGTCACTCCCCATCCCTACGCAACCAACCACTAATCTACTTTCTGTTTCCATACATTTGTCCATTCTAATCATTTCATATGAATGGAATTATACAAAATGTGGTCTTTTGTGAACGGCTTCTTTCACTTAACATGTTTAAAAGGTCCATCCATATTATAGCATGTATCCGTACTTCATTCCATTCTATAGCTGAATAATATTCCACTATACGGGTATGCCACATTTGTTTATCCATTCATCACTGATGGACATATGGGTTGTTTCTACCTTTTGGTTATGCTCGGTTGTGTATAAGTGCTTGTGTTTTCATTTTTCTTAGGGAAATATCAGGTGTGCAATTGCTGGGTTATATGGTAAGTCTATACTTAACATTTTGAGGAACCACCAAACTGTTTTCCAAAGTGGTTGCACTATTTTATATCCCTGTCAGCAATGCATGATGGTTCCAATCTCTCCAAATTCTTGAAAACACTCATTATTTTTATACGATATATGTAGATATATATATATTTTCTTGTTTATAGTCTTCCTACTGTGGATATGAAGTGATACCTCACTGCCATTTTGATATGCATTTCCCTACTTACTGACATTGAGTATCTTTTCACACGCTTATTAGCCATTTGTATATCTTCTTTGGAAAAATGTCTACTTAAGTCTTTGGTCCATTTTTTTTAATAGCCTATTATTGAATCTTAAGAGTTCTTTGTTGTTCTGGACACAAGTCCTTTATGAGATATATGACTTGCAAACATTTTCTCTTATCTGTGGGTATTTTTTTTGCTTTAAGTCACAAAAAAATTTTAATTTCGAAGAAGTTCTATTTTTTTCCTTTTGCTGCTTTTACTTTTGGGGTATTATTTAAAAAATCATTGCCTAATTCCTCTTCCTCTGAGTTTTAGTTTCAGCTCAACATTTAAACATTTGATCCATTTTGAGTTAACTTTTATATTTACCACAATTGTGTGAAGAAAAGATTCTCATTCTCTTTTGCATGTGGAAAATCATTACCCCAACACCATTTGTTGAAAAGATTATTCTTTCGCTACTGAACTGTTTTAGTACTCTTGCTGAAAGTCAATTAACTGTGAGGATTTGTTTCTAGACTCTTACTTGTATTCCCAATTTATGTGCAGTACTACCTTATGCTAGTACCACACTGTCTTCATTACTACTGCTTTATAGTACGTTTTAAAATTGCGAAGTGCTCTAGCTTTCTTCTCTTTCGAGATTGTTTTGGCTCTGCCGGATTCCCTTCTACTCTTTGTTGAGTGTTTTTATTATGAAATGTTGTCAAATATCTTTTCTGCCCCTAATGAGGTGACAATATGGCTTTTGTCCTTTATTTTATGGTTTATTACATTAATATGAAAATATGTTGAACCAACCTTCCTAGGATAAACCCCACTTGATCATAGTGCATAATCCTTTTGAAGATTTTGGGTCTACCTGTACTTGTTTTTTTTTTAAATCAGGCAAAGTATCTCTAATTGTAAGACCAAGTAAATTCCAAGTATTCCAATCAATAAATCATACCTCAAATTAATCTTTAATTTTATACTTCCCTAAGAGTCCCTAAAAATAAACTGGTAATGATTGTAAACACTTTATCTTTTATTATCTGGACAGAAGTAGTAAATATCCAATATGACTATGAATTTTAGCTCTCCCTTCTTTATTTTAATGAATTAAACTTCTTTGCTTGACTCTGCTTAAGAGAATGAACGGAAAGAACATTCTGAAATACAGCCTGTAGTTTATAAATATTTTCTCCTATACTCTATTGGAGGGCTGGAGTCAATGTCCTAAGTTATAGCTTCAGGATGGCTAATTCAAGGACACTAAGGAGCTCTTAGTGTTAAGAAAACATGCTCAGAAGGGATAAGTGACTTGTTCAGCAGCTTCTCATTGAACACAGAGTAGAGCCTGGACTGGAATCTATGTCTTAATTATTCGAAGATTTTGTCCTCTTCTCTTTACATATTGTCAACCCTTCAGAACTGCAGTAGAAATAGAACTTGTGAGTCTGACATGATTAGAAGCCTTAAGTCTACAAATAAGGCCTGTTTCCTTACCATGGTGTTGGTGCTTGGCTGTCCTAGTGTGCTAGTATTACCAAAGGAAAAGCCAGTGGTCTGGGTGGTTGTGGCCTGGCCAAATGGTTTGCTGAAGAGGCTGGTAGTCTGCTGATTTTGTTGGCCAAAGAGACCACCTGGATTTGTTCCAAATCCAGTTGTACCTTTCAAGAAGAACGAAGAAAAGGAAAAATAAATCGGGGAAAAATACCCAACAAACCTCACATTATCTAGATACTGCAATAGTCTATGTTACTGAATAAATATCTCACTTACCCTACATTTATTCACTACTCAAACTGGATAATCACTTCCTTTTCCATTCTTCACCCAGTTCCTACACTAAGACTCTGACCCCAAGAATCCCAGATGGGCTAAGTAATCTTCCTTTGTGAGCCCATAGGTTTGTCTATTTTACAAGATACCACACTACACTTAAAGTCTATGTGTGTATTTTAACCTTGTTAGATTAAATTTTCTTGAGAACAAGGACTTTCTCTTCATAACAATACATCCAGCATAGAGTATGGAACAATAATGGTACTTAATAATGAATACGTGGCTAAACTAAATCACAGAATACCAAAACTGAAAAGAATATAAATGCCACTTAAATATGTATTCATTTGTGTATTTGTGTGTGTATATATATCTCTATAGAGGCTACCAAAAATATCTAACTTTTGCTTATTTCTACAGAGGCAAACTGGTGGCTAGGGGAAAAAAAGAAAAGACCCTCAGTTACCTACTTTTTTTGTGTTTCATGAACTTTATACCATATATATGTATTACCTTTGCAAAAGTAGTATTTTTATGAAGTAATTTAGTAATCATCCTAGACTTCTTCCACATCCTATATCAAATCAATCCAACAATTCAAACTGAATTCAAACATTCAAACTAGGTCCAGAATCTGACATTTTTTACCATCTCCATAGCACTATTCTAATCCAAGCCACCAACATCTCTCATGTGGATAGGGCAACTGCTGATTTGTTTCCACTCTGGCTTCCTTACAATCTACTCTTAATATACCAGTCTTTTGAATGATCCTTTATAGATAATCACACGACTTTTCTTTCTAAACCCTCTAATGGCTTCCCAAATGAAGTAAAAATTCAAATATTGACACTGGCTCACAAAGTCCTATAAAATACAGTGTTCCTATATCCTCTAGTACTTCCCCTTGTCCTCTCCTCTTTGGCATAAACTCAGGATTTTTAGACTTCTAGTTTCCACTAGCTGGAATGTTCTTCCCCTAGAAATCTGTACAGCTTTATCCTTCACCTTCTGCAGGTCACTGCTCAAATGCCACCTATTAGTGAAGACCTTCTTAACCATATGTAAAACTGTATTTCTCTTCACATATATACCAGGCATTCCCTACTCCTTCAGCATCCCTGAAACACTTTTCTCCATAGCACTTAATCCTAAAATGACAAATACAATTTTACTTGTCTGTCCCTTCTCAACATGGCCCAATATAATGTCAAGTGCTTACTAGTTCCAAAGGCTGTTTTGTTCTGACCATATGCAAAGCCTGAATTCGTGGTGGAAGAGCTGAAGAGTCCTGCTGCACTGGAGGTGGCGGGAGAAGACCCAAATAAGCCAGTCGCGGTACCTGCTCCCACCTGGTTCTGCGGGCCTTTCCGGTTGGCCTGATAATCCTCTAAACGAAGTTCCTAGAGTGAGGGAAGACATATTCCAAATTAATATGCAGCCACAAAAATTACTTAGGAGACTAAATACTTGAGTTTAGTATTCAATTTCTATGTTCACATAGGAACCATAACTAAAAAAACAGAACACTACAGAATGTTAACAGTATCATTATAGAAAAACATTTTCAATAGTGTATAATGGACATTAAAATCCAGGACCAACCACATCTTAATTTCAATTTTCTTTTATAGACAATAATACTTTCTTTTAGACAATAATCTAATAGTCTATTGCCACCCCAAATGTAAAGATTAGCTAATTAAAAGATGGAGGATTCAGAGGAATTCAGAAAACTTAGGAAAAGAGGGGATAATGTTTCAACAGTTTTATCTTACAGGTCAGTGCATTTCTGTATACTCCAAAAAAGCACAGTTTGGGATGTAGAAGAAGCAACAGCTACAATCAGAGATGACAGTCAAAATGTACAACAAACTATCACATAGCAATGATAATGAACAACCTACAACTTCATGCAACATGGATAAACCTCACAGTGCTGAAAGACAGACATGATATAAGATTCCATCTATGTAAAGTTCAAAAACGGACAAAACACAGGCAGTCAGGATAATGGCTACCTTTGGAAGGGGAGGACTGGAAGTAGGGGAGCAGGACCCAAGGGGGACATCAGGGATGCTGGTAATGCTATGTGTCTTGATTTGGATCCTGATTACATGGGTGTGGTTCACTTAATGAAAACTTAAGTTTACTAAAAACAGATGTATGCACACACATACATGCACACATTGCCAATAACAGTATGAGCAACATCCAATCAGAATAGACTAGAATTGTACTGGTATGTACAAGCTGAATATCATCCCTGCTTAAAACAATAGATATCTATAAATAATTAATATTAATTTAAAAAGTAATTTGGTTAATGTTAGTTTCTTATATAAATCCTAAAAAATAATTTAAAAAATTTTTAAGCTGCTTTCCAACAGAATCAAAAGGTTAGGGTGATACTGTGTTTTGCATTTTACTGACCTCTAGTGACTTGCTTTCATATTCCTTCATAGCAGTAATACACTGGTGCTTGGTACTGATGTTAGTGCTAACTCCAGCTTTAACCATAGTATCTGTACCAGTTGGAGGCTGCAAAGGAAGACAAAGGCAAATCTGAAAGTCTAAAGCAAATGTGTAAGTCCAAGCTTTATAGCCCTACTCACAGACACAATTCAACCACTAAACTCTATAACCAGTTCCCTAGATCTTTTACTAAACAAGATGGTTTCAAGAGAGCTCGATTAACATTGCACTTCTGATCTCTTCCTGTATCAAAGTTATCAATATCAAAGTTATCTGCGTAAGTCAATCTCAGTAATTGTTATCAAAAACCCAGAGATTAATTGTATAACCAAGCCACCCAATTATCTACTAAAATATGCTTATTACATGCATAAGGAAAACTTTATCCAATTTATCCAACATATACATTTAAACCTTCAATTCTGATTTCTACCTCCTACTCTGCTCTGAAGTGTATGCTTTATAACTATTGTTACATTTAAGAAATATGGAAGCCTTTTTCTTCCCCATACAAGCTTATGAGGCAAAAGGCACGGCAGTAAAGATTCCTACTTATATTGTCAGTTTTCTCAATTACTGTACTTTCCAAGAGACAACACATAGTATTTTTCACTGTCACTTACATTTAACTTTATTTTAAATTCAGTACTACGAATTCACCACCTTGCCTAAGAAATTATTCATTTTCCAGAGTAAGTTTTAGTAACTTTTCCTAATCCCTATTTTTGCCAGAGATTTCCATTAGGCTAACTATACAGCCAGCCTATCCTAAGTATCTCCCAAGCAACTGCATCAATCACAATAAGTGTTATCTTACATCAAGGGGTATTCCATATATTTTCATTAAGAAAATCTTTCATTCTAACCTTCTACCCAACTTATCTCAAAACAAAGTTGAAGAAAACACAAAGCTCTACTGCCTCATTTTACCATTTCACCAATAAAGCTTTACTTCTACCTGGCACATAGAATATTGATGAGTTATTCCATATATCTCCTTAAAGAAAACCTATTTTCAGTGATTTTTATACAGTTTGCCCAAACATTTCTTCTTTATTTCTATAAAGAATGGCTGACCACTCGGTAAATACAAGTTCAACCTTATACTAGCTATTGTAATCAACCTTGTGAATATAAATTTAATTGGTCTGAGCATACTTCAAATATGTATTATAATCTAGATTTATGATTCATGACTTTTCCTGTCTACCATACAACTATTCACAGATTTTGTTCTTAACACATCTTTCAGGAAGAGTAAGCTGTGCATAACTGGAAAGAGGAGAAATTTTATGATTCGTCCTGCAAAGAAATACACAAATGAGAGAGAAATGCATTCCACAAAGATTGGAAGAAAATACTTACGTTAAACTTAATGGTAGTCCCAGTAGGAGCAGCTGTAAAACTACTTGGCCCAAAGAGGGAGCCAGATGTGCTACCAAAAGGATTGGAGGTGGTATTTGTAGTTCCAAAAAGTCCTCCACTGCTAGTACTTGTTCCAAAATCTATAAATTAGAAAAGAAAAACAGGATGGTAACAGCAAAGAATTTAAGAATCGTAAACTATCTTGGAATTGGGCTGTGGCACTAAAGCTTTACTTTCACATCCTCAGATTTTTCTATCTTTCAAATCTCCCAGCAAGTACCTTCAAACAGATAACCTGATATAGACACACATGTTCTATGCTCACAACTTTGAAGTGAAACAAAGCCTGAATCCTTGTTAGCTAAGTGTCCATAAAGTCCTTGGGCATACTTAGAAGACAAGCTGAAAGTTTGTTTCATCATACATTTTATCTCATTTCTCTTGGTAAGACCAGTTGCTGAATGAACTTGTCTTTCTAAAAACATCTTACCACAACAGACTTGAACAGGGGTCATAGTACATTTTATTTATATATGAGTTTTTAAAAATTACATAAAAGAGAATTTAACTGCTATAAAAAGAATGTATTTTTTAATATATTACTTCTAAAGAAGTTATATATATAAATAGTGCCAGAAATATCAGTAAGCAATACAAAGTTATCTGCCAATATTTAATATTAAGTGCCATCATAATTAACAAGTCAAGAGGAATGTGATTTCTCACTGGCAAACTATTTCTTTTCTAAAAACATGTTCTAATACATAGTTTAAACAGGCACACCTCTTTTGAATTAGTATTTTAAATTGCCTTTTATATTGTCATGGTTAAATATTTCAACATTCCCTCAAACAACTTCCCCTTTGTAAAATACTGATAGCTGGCTAACTTACTCATTCTGTCACACTCATGCTGGGAATGGCATCAACTCACAGGGCACACCTGTGCAACTAGTAATGGTTGCGTCAAAGTACTGTGTGGAGAAGTAAACCAAGGCCACATTCAGACTTAAAGAGAAAGAAGCCATCAATTAAAAACACCTGCCATGGACAAGGAATGGAGGAGTAACCATGTCACATCCAGCGTTTGTCATTCCTGCTTTAGTCTCTTAAAACCGAATGTGAAACAGAGACAAGAAGGTGCCCTTGCAGTACACTATGGTTGACTACACATTCCTCCTTGAAATTCTCCTGTCTTGACACCTATGACACTACTCTGACCTGGCTTTTCATTCCATTCTCTGTGGTCATTCTGTATCAGGCACCTCTTCCTCTGCATATCCCTTAAATACCAGTGCTCCTCAGATTTCCAGTCTTGGAGAAATGTACATACCCCGCTTCTTTCCAGCCTACTAAACTTTTCAATACATTTTGAAGTTTTCCTCTCCCTATCTTTTTGCTATCTGGTGGAAAAAGGAGGTGGGTGAACACGGGGAAAAGAAGAGAGAACACATTCAATAAGCAAATCAAATTGTTTGATGCAGAAGTCCAATGATATTCTACTTACTCCCAAAACCTGTTGGTTTATTTTGTGCAAAGGCATTGTTTTGGGATGAGAAAAGACTGGTCCCTGTGCTTGCAGTTCCAAACAAGCTGTTTGATGTTCCTGTTGATGTGCCAAACCCAAAGCCAGTGCTTGTGGAGGTAGCTGGCTGGCTAAATGAATTGGTACCAAATAATCCTCCTAGAGAGATGGAGAGGGGAAAAAATAGTTAAACAGATTGGAATCACTAAGTGAAGTCCTATACCAGCTATGAATAAACCAACTGTATTCCAAATAAAGTCCCTACCTGGTTTGGTCTGTGAATTTCCAAACAGACCTCCAGTATTGTTGCTAGAACCAAATGCAGATGTTCCAAATGCCCCTCCACTAGTAGTGCCAAATCCAGTATCTGATAAAGCAAAATCCAGGGTCAGAATAAAATCTAAGTCAGATGACCTGACCTGACAAAAGAGTACTTTAATATTTCTTAACATTCTGTATTTGAATAGGATCACTAACCTGAAAACTACTTTTTTAAAAAATTCCGTAAGACTACTTATTAGAGTTAAAATTAAGCCACAGATATTTTATTCACTGTCCCATGTGAAGTAAGGAAACTAAAAGCAAAAAAGATTAAAGACTTTTCAGTAAGTTAAAGATGTTGCTAGGCTTAAAAAAAAAAATGCCGAGTTAATTAGGTACTATGAGCCACAGACAAAAAACAAAATTTCAAAAGTAAAGTGTTATAATTTTCTACAGACCCAGTCACTGGAATGAATGGTCCTTAATTAGAAGAGCACATCAGAATGACCTGGGAAGTTTTTCAAAATACACATTTTCAAGTTCCAACCCCAGTGATTCTAATTCTATAGTTCCATGATGAGAAACATGTACTTTGGAAAAAAACCTCCAAGTGGCTCTGAAACACATTCTTGGTTAAAAATCAAGGACCTAGACATACAGAATACTATAAAAGGAGGTCAGAAGACACTTGCAAAATTTTCCTCTATTATTTTTGTTCAGAATGACTGAGGTTTGGTAGTTAGGCTTTTTAAAAACCTTCATCAGAGAAAGTTTCTGGGATTTGCATTAAAATACTCTGTTCAGATGCTCTTCTCCCCTTAAAAAGAGGGATAAAAACAAGATGGGAAAATGCGGACTGCTGAAGCTGGGAGATAAGTACATGAGAGTTCATATCATTCTTTCTACTTTTGTGTAGGTATAAACTTTTTGTTAAAAGTTTAAAAGTAAGTGTATAAGGGTTACTATAGGCAACCAGTGTCATGTATAATACTCAGTGGAAGGGGAAATAGATCTCAGGAGGGCTGGTGGGATTCAAGGACTTGGACTTTCTAACAGTTCTGTTTCTTATTCACGGAGCAAATCTTGGAGAAGTTATTCAACAACTGCATTTTAGACTTCAATAGTAAAAAAGTATTTACTGGTCTAAAATGTAATAACAAATTATAATCTTCTGCTAAAAGAACCAATTAATAAATATACTTTAAGTACTTTCTACCGATGATCAGAAAACCATGAAAACTGAGAACTTTAAAATTTCTACTTCTTGAGACAATTTTAACAAGATCTTATGCTGGTCATTTTTCAAAGAGATTTTATTATGAAGACCAAAGTATGAATTAATTCCTATCTAAAGCTTCTGAACTGGATTTGTTCTTAATAACAACAGCTTAAGATTTTTCTCTCTTTTGTTATTTTTTAAAACTTACTCTGTCCAAATGTTGAAGTTGTGCCAAAACCACCTGTGCCACCCCCAAAGGGTGTTCCAAATGACTTATTAAACATCTTCAAAATGAGTCTTTGCTTCAGAAAGCTGGAAAGAAGAAAAAATTATCACTTTTTAAAGACCACAGAATGCAATGGAATTGTTTCAGAAAATCTATCATTCTACAAATTTAGCCAGGCCTGTTCAAACAATAGTATGATGTTTACTCTCATTCAATATCCTAAAACTCTGTATGACAAAATAGATTTTGTAAAATTGAGGCTTAACTGAACTAGTACCATAACATGAGTTAAACTTCAAATCCCATCAACAACCATTCATTTAAAATAATGTTTTTCTACCTTTTTTTTTTTTTTAAAGCTAAACCCCTTTTAAATAACGATTTCAGGTCTACTATACCAGATTTTGATATGTTCCATGTAGGAGGTTAAACAGAACATCCACTAAAAATTATAATAATATTCTGTTATCCCAATCACCAGAGAAGCTAAAATTTTTGTCAGGCTTTATTTTTGATAATGTGCATTGTAAAAAGGTTCCTCCCCTATTTTGTGTACATAAAATGTTGTAATATGAATTGTTCTTCAAACTATGCACACCCTCTCCTCCCATCTCTAAACCCTAGAGATTCTGGTGCGCTGACATTCTTCTGGAGAGTACCTCTTAAGACTATTCTCTATGGTCCCCTACTTATCTATTTTCTGCTTCTTCTGGGAACATTACAGAAAACCTTTGGTCAAAACCCCCACCTTGCATGAATGAGTCCCCTCCAGTATCCAAACTATGCACCCAGTCACTTAATGAATTGGACCAAAGTTTCCTAAGTATGAAAGTGAAGTTTGATTTCTCCCCCCCTAGATTTGAATGAAAACAAGGTAAAAGTATAGTTTACTAAAAAGTAAAACCCTTTCCCCCTCCATAAATTTTCCTTAAACTTAAGACATCTGCTACCAATTACCTGCCTGCAGACAAGAAAATGAGTAAACTACTTCCAATATGAAAACTCAGAAAATAGCCAATCATGCTTCTTTGGATTTTGTATGGTATGATGGTTTTTCTATTACACATAACAAACCAGCTTTTTCTTCTAGTAAAACCATATGCCCAGTTCATATAATACGATTAAATGTAACATGTTGAGGTACTCCCAATGTTCCAGTATCCCATTAGCACTTTCAGGTAAAACATTTCCATCTGAAACATTCTGTACAACATTTGGAAAAGATGAAATATGAAATGATTTTATAGAAAGCAACATCCTGCCCTCTGAACTCCTCTAGAAAAAAAATTCCAACCCTTAGTTCTTTATCCCAATATCCAGGAATTTAACAACTCCTGCAATTAACCTAAGGTCACTGAAACTATGGGTTCAAGAGAGGCACATCAGAATGAACTGGCAAGCTTTTCAAAATACAGTCCCCTAGGCTCCATTCCAGAAATAAGAAACCAAAATGTCCAGGGTTGGGAATGTAGACATTTGTATTCTGAAAGGCTCCTCAAATGACTCTAATACACTCCCTTGGAACTGGAAGCTATATTTCAGGTAATCATCATTTCTCTTTCAATAATGAGATCTGCTTGAAGTTTCCCGCCTTCCCAATTTATCAGGTGTCGAAAAGTGACAGATTGGGCCTTTATCATATTAACTGGTGACTCTCCCTTCCAGGGAAAATATTCTTAGAAGTACTTAGGAGAAGTCTAGACCTCTATGGGTCTATCTATATATTTGCTTTTCAATAGTTCACTCAGAATTGACAGATGTGCTAGGAGTCAGATGTTTGGACCAACTCATTTAGAGTTGGCTCACAGCCACTACTAAATCCATTTTCCTTTATCTGTTGACTGAATTTTTTGACCCATCACCAGTAAGGAAAAACTGTGACTTGCAGTACAGTTATCATGCTAAATTTGCCATTCATTTTCTTTTCACCCCCTACAAACAGCAATCTATTCATATAAATCTGACATCTTCTACACAGCAAACATGTTAGGACTTGAAAGACAAGTAATTTAGTTTTTCTCTATGAAACTTTTTCTCATACAGATTTTAGTGTTACTTTGGTATCAGTGGCACTAGGCGCTACAGACCAAATCCACAGCCTCTAACAGTCAAAATTTGATTTTTAATAATTTTATCATAACATAGAAACCTAGAATCACACATATACTCCACAAAGGGGTTTTAAGTAGTAATAAAATATCCTGAGAAACAGCTCAAAAGTTTACAAGCTCTTATATATTATCTCAACAACCCTAAAAGGATGGTATTATGCATCATCACCTACATTTTACAGATGCAGAAACAGGATCAGTTAAAGGTTCTCAAGACCAAAGAAGTGATAAGTGGTAGATCCTCAGTTTAATCTCTGACTTCCTATGGACAGCCTCAATCCCAGGATGGAAGACACTTACTAAACAACAAGAAAAAACGTGTGTAGTATGTCAAGGAAATTCATCTGTTTCAGACCCAAGAACAAGTACAATACAGGGACCAAATTCAATTTAGACTCCTGGAAAATAAAAGCTTCTCACTCAGGCTCAGCCTATCTCTTTGGTTCTGGCAAGGATGAGCTTGGCTTAATCTCATGGCTGATCATACTGGGATTCTAAATGGGTTTTTTTTTAAACTATCACCATGGAAGCAAACCAAGGTTTTGGAAACAGCCTCACAATTTTTATCATGATTGCTAGAAATTAAAACATGGCTAATACATTAAACCTTTGCTCTTCAAACAAATCAATTTCCCTACTATGCTATGAAATGTCAGTGACTCAATGAAAAATGCCTTCCTTTTTACTCTTGCCCCTACTAAACAACCTACTAATTCACGCTTCAAAACCTAGCTCAAATGTTTTATCTTCTGTAAGCCTTCCCTAACTCCCTTAGCATTACTCAGTCATTCCTTTAGGCTTTCATAGCACATTATGATTGGTTTACCCACATTTCTACCTTGACTCTTTCTATGGTTGGTGACAATACCAATTACACAGATCACCCTTTAGGACTGAAGGATTTGCTATCCCAGCTACTGAGTAGTACTACCAAAAGACAGCCCTCAGCTGTCAGTCCTCTTCAGAACTGCCTCTGCTGAAGACAGCTGCCTCATCCAAGGTCATATCCTCTTGGAAAGACAGCTCAAATCCAAAAGCCAGGCCTCTTGGCTCCAACTTAGGGTTACTTTAAATGGTAACCACAGCTTCATACTCTCCATGGATTGGCTGAGGCTTCCATTAACATACTATCACAACTCAATTTTTCCCTCAGCCCATTCCTGCTTCCTTCTCTTCTCTTCCACAGGTGGTGATCCCAAGTGCACTATCTAGTAAAATTCATGCAGAACTATCTCCAATTCAGTCTGCTTCCCAAGGAAGTCAACCCCTCAAACTTCCCCAACACACAATGAACTTCTTCATGGTAGGGACAGTATCGTTTGTTTACTGTCCCAGAACCTAACAAAGGGTCTGAAATAGATAGATGTACTCATTTTCTAAATTAATGACAATCATCACAAATGTGTTTTTAAAACACAGTGTGAATGATCAAGTTACTTCAGAAGTAACTTCTAACTTAAAAATAAAATTATGCTAGTTAATTCTCACAACAAAAGGAAGCCATGAAAGGAAAAATTTTTGGTAGAATTTAACATGGGTTTCAGAGGTTGCTTGGAAGTGATCACAAAATGGCTGGATACAACCAGCAGACACTTTTTGGCTTGTTTTATTTATTTATATACATATATGGTATATTATACACATACATATGTATGTATGTATGTTGAAATGTTTATGTATATATTGTCTTAAACTAGCTGATAAAATTTAAAATACAGATATGTCAGAAAAATAAAATTTTGGCTTCTTACGAAAAATCTAATAATTAAGCAGATGAGGACTGTAATCACTTCATGACAATAACAGTCTGGAGCATGGCAGGAACTGTCCCTTTTGGTCACAGCCATATTCTCCAATGTGCCACAATACCCACCCAGTATCACTCATCTCCATCAGATGCCTGGCCCCAACAGGTTTTGAGTTTGTAATTTTTGATAATCAAAGAAAGGAGCTACACATTAAAAACTTGAAGAGCCCAGAAATAAACCCACACACCTAAGGTCAATTAATCTTCGACAAAAGAGGCAAGAATATATAATGGAGAAAAGACATTCTCTTCAGTAAGTGGTGTTGGGAAAGCTGGATGGCTGCATGTAAATCAATGAAGTTAGAACACTCCCTCACACCATACACAAAAATAAACTCAAAATGGCTTAAAGACTTAAACATAAAACAAGAAACCATAAACCTCCTAGAAGAGAACAGAGGCAAAACATTCTCTGATATAAATCATAGCTATGTTCTTGTAGGGCAATCTATCAAGGCAATAGAAATAAAGGCAAAAATAAACAAATGGGACCTAATCATAAGTATAAGCTTTTGCACAACAAAGGAAACCATTAACAAAACAAAAAGACAACCTACAGAATGGGAGAAAATATTTGCAAACATGTGACTAACAAGGGCTTAATCTCCAAATATAATAACAGCTCATAAAACTCAGTAACAGAAAAACAACTCAATTAAAAATTGGGCAATGACTTAAATAGACATTTCTCCAATACAGATGGCCAATAGGCACATGAAAAAATGCTCAATATCGCTAATCATCAGAGAAATGCAAAACTACAATGTTGTATCACCTCACACCAGTCAGAATGGCCATCATTAAAAAGTCCACAAACAACAAATGCTGAAGCGGGTATGGAGAAAAGGGAACCTTCCTACACTGCTGGTGGGAATATAGTTTGGTGCAACCATTATGGAAAATAGCATGGAGATTCCTTAGAAAACTAAAAATAAACTTACTCTATGACCCAGCAATCCCACTCCTGTGCATATATTTGGAGGAAACCAATTCAAAAAGATACATGCACCCCAATGTTCATAGCAGCACTATTTACAATAGCCAAGACACAGAAGCAACCTAAATGTCCATCAACAGAGGACCGGATAAAGAAGTTGTGGTTATATATACACAATGGAATACTACTCAGCCATAAAACAAAATGAAATAATGCCATCTGCAGCAACAT